GAAATATTCCAAACCACACCTTGATATGCTTCCACTGAGACAATAAAGCGGTTAGATTTTGTAACAGAGAGAGGTTGACACACATGAATGCATACACGCAAATATAACGTTTATTGATTGAAGATGGAAAACACGATCTTCCGTGAAAGTTACAAACTGTCTCAGCGCTATTAATAGGAAAGAATCTAGAACAATGATATATGAAACCTGAGACGGCTGAAGAATAAATTTCAAATCAGGTTGGCGAGTACTTGTTTATAAAGAAATGCAAAAGGGCAGGCGATGTTTAATTTGGGTCATTAAAAAAAAAAAAAAAAAAAAAAACTAGACAAAAATAATATTTTTGATAAAAAAATATTGACGTAAATTGGACCGGAGAGGTAAGATCAGTGTGTTTACTGCTAGCGAAATCTGATCTAAACATAAGTCGTATCCACTGAATTTGGTCATCGAAAAGACAATTGAAATGAACATTGAACTAATTCATTTTATCCACTAAGAGATTTGAAACAGATCCGATTTAAACTTTGCTTATGGCGACAGTTAAGCACATGAACAACCTGGCTTATAACTTTCGGTTTGCTATATAAACGCGTGTTTTGTCGAGTTGGGGAGACCTAGGTGTTAGACGAGAGTGACGTTGAGAGAGAGAGAGAGAGAGACTGTCATTGCAGTGAGTCGGTCTAGTGGCAAGTCAGCGATAAGGACTTCAAGAAATATCGTCATTGTAGCAGTCGCATTGAAAAGTCGCTGAAACTTAACAACAACCAACTGAAAAGCTACACTTCGACGTAGGGCTGGAATTACGAGTCACATATCCTCCCAAGTTGATTTGGAACGAGTTAATCACACACACACACACCTCTCTGTTGGTATAATTGGTAGAGGAGTGGTCCTCAGTTATGTTAATTGCTTTTGTATCCTTTCTGTAAACTCTTTCTACTGTTGTTGTTTTCTTATATAAAAGACATCAATATTTTACCCATTGTTGTTTGGCTTCTGCAGATATTATTTTCTTGTTTGCCACATTCTAATTTTCCTGCCGCCCACCCTCACAGCCGTGCCTACATCCCCAATCGACTGTGAACGTATGCACAACACCCCACTTACTGGATCTAAAAACTAACACGTGGGCAGCAGGCGGAATTTGGCCAGTGACCGGTGGAACACTCTACGGGTACTCAGGGAGCGTGTGGCCAGCTACCCGAGTTCGGTTCAGACCAAGTGGGTGCCTCAACCCAGAGGAAGACGCCAGAGGTTGAGGGGCTGAAGGGACGAGTGGTAGAATTTTAGTTTGATTCAAATTGACCCAGCTGCAAGGGTTCATAAGCAACAACTATCCTATTGGGGGTCAGATGGTGTGGCTAAGATCAGGGTTACTGCATTACAAGCCAAGTGGTAAATGACTGCCAGTTTTGTTTCTCATTCCCAATTTAAACACAAACTTTACCATTCAATTGATTTGTTTTCTGCCTTTTCTTCTCAGCCATTCCTGATTATGTTCAAGTCACCTAACAGACATACTCTGACTTTTGTAATCTGCTTGGTGAGGCTAGGCTACAAAGGATCATAAATAAATGTCTTTTAAGGAACTAATGCTGTAAGAAAAACAATGGTTGCAGAAGCATTAATGACTGATAACTCGAGCAGGTGTTCTGGATGATGTTGCCAAGAATAGAATTGGATTTCACAATTGGTGATTGAGAAAGCAAGAATGGCCTTTTTTTTGTTGAGGAAAAAAAAATATCAAAGTTTGTTGCTTTTTAATAATTTAGTCAAACTCTGTTGGGCTGTCATTGTTAATATAAAAACTGACTCCAAAAACCGTGTGGTGCATGTATCTTCTGCCAAAAGTAAAAATCCAAACTGTCTCAAATTTGTTAATAAACAAATTGACAGGTAGATGCAAATTTGATATCTGACCAATGGTGGGTGACTATATAAATGTTGCTTCAGGTTAATGAGTCTGTGCAGTAGACATGATATAGGTATTTCCATTTCCTTTTAGAATCGTGATCAGAAATTTTGGTAAATTTCTTCAATTACACCTTGAATAAAAGTAGGAAACACTGACTGTAATGAAATTGGAGAGGTACAATTTATACAATTCACCCAGAACATCTTTTAAATATTAAAAAAAAAAAACAGTTCCTCACATCTGTTTATTTAGGACATATGATCTTTCTAGGATAAAGTGTTTCATTTTAACATTTAATAAAAGGGGGTGGTTGGAATATGATGTTTTTATTTATTTTTATCCCCCAAAAGAGAATAATCATCCCAGCCTTTTTATTTTAAGCTCAAATATAATTTAAAAGCAAAAATAATTACTGACAGGATGGACTGTACTGGTGTTCAGGAAACATTTAAAAAAAAAAATGAAAATTTAGAAATCCCTCTTCAAAAAATAAAACTGATTTGGAATGAAACTTAAACAGTTTCTTTGAAGAAGGAATTCTGGAACAAGGCATTTTAGCAAATTAAAAAAAAAAAAAAATGTTCCTACTGTCTATCGTCCTGTTAAAATTCAAAAGATTTAAAATTACGGGGTAAAGGTGTGACTTTCTGCTAATTGCTGGTTCTGTGCTGCATTTTAATAAAGTATGGCAAAAGGTCATGTTTATAGTTAAGAAGCAGATACAAATCAACTTTTGTAATTTGTCTCATGAGCTTATATTAAGTTTTAGAAGGTTAATTTTGTCGAATTTGAACCCGTCAGTAACTTCATATCTTCAACATGGATGCATTCAGGTATCCAATTTTCTTTTCACCAAATTCTCATTCAGGTTCTACACAACTAGGAAAGTTTTATTTATCTTTTCTTTCAGATTTTTTTTTTTTTGTGAGGGGGAGCAAAATAACAGTTTCTTTTCCAGCCAAACTCTTCACTGTCATGATTCTGTATGGAAAATAAATGAAGGATTCTCCTCTTCTAATCAATTACGTTGTTTTTTTTTGTTTGTTTTTTAAATTTGTTCACTTTCTTTTGTTTCACCTCCATTTTCCCCTCCCAAATCAAAATTAATATTTTGCCATTACAAATCTTTTATCAATAAATTGATTCAGACTTATCAAATCATGAAATGTAAGTCATTCTGAACGACCACTTTAGATCCTTTTGTATTAATGCAGGTGTCCCCTAGGGCTCTATCCTTGTTTCTATTTTGTTCTTAATTTTTATTAACAACCTTTCTGATGGTATTATCTCTCAATTTGGTAACTATGCTGATGACACAACCATCCATCTCAATAGTAAGTATGATCAGTCCTATAAGTTGATGTCAAAAACAGCCTTCAATCTGTTGTTACCTGTAGCAAAGAATGGCTTCTTAATTTTAACACCTCTAAAACTAAACTGCTGTCTATTAATCACCAGAGAAACCCCTTTCTGGCTTCCATCAGCATGACTGATGCTAACCTCCAGGAGAGTGACTCATTCTGCTTTCTTGGGCTAATGTTTTTGGCTGATATGAAGTGGAAAAACTATATTGAATCCATTATTAGGTCAGCTACAAAGAAAGTTGATTCACTGTGTTGTTCTAGACAATTTTTCTCTCCAGAATCTATCTTGCATATCTACCATTCGCTCATGCTTAGAATATTGCTAGCATGTATGGTCCAGTTCCCCTGCTATATATTTAGATATTTTTGATAAGATCCAAAGAATCAGCAATATTCTTGGTCCTGATCTGGCAGCTTAGCTCCAGTGACTTGCCCACCACTGTAAAGTTGAATTCCTGTGACTTTTCTATAAATACTTTCATGGTAATTGAATGAGCTTTTCACTATGGTACTGAAACTTTTAAATTTCACAAGTACTAGACTGGCATTGAGGTCTCGTCAATTTGTAGTTGAGCTGGCTATCTATAAACATAAATTCTATGCTAACAGTTTCTTTTCTCACACTTCACGCTTGTGGAACTCCTTTCTGGCTCCATGCTTTTCAGCCAACTTTAATCTTAAAAAATTTAAATGCAATGTCAAATTGCTATCTACCATCTTCCTGATGAGTCTCTTGTTGCTCCTCAATAATGCTTGTTTTCTAATTCTTCCACACAAGGTAACCCCTTTTGTCTTAGTGGATTTACTGCCTTGCTTGGGATGAACTTTATGAAAAAAAAAAAAGACACAATGTGAAGCTGACAATTTGTCAATCAGCATCATCTCAAAAGTTTAGGGCACCATCAAATTTATACAAGACTGACACACTTTACTTTTCATTCAGCAGTAAACTATTTAAACATGCTTTACCAATCCAAGTCTTTTCAGAATTCTTTCATCAAAAGCACTACCATTAGAAGAGATTAGCTTCTTGCATACAGAATTTACACAAAAATAAATTCCAACTGGATGACATAATATTCACCATAAAGTCTTATGGATTTATTAATAAAGTTTTCCAAGAGAATTTAAAAAAAAAAACAACTTTTTGGACCATCACTGCAGTTTTAATTATTACTTGCAATGGAAAACATACATACATACATACAAAAAGAAAAAAGGCAGCAAATTAATCCTTATCCCATTCTTGAAGAATTACTAATTCGACTCTTTCAGTTAGCAACGCCCCAGCCTCAAGGTTAAAATATAATTGGGAAATATGGTTGGGTGTAGGAGGAGATTTCCTAAAGCCTAATTAAAACACTTATCTGGAGTCATTTCAAATTCTCATATGTGCAGTTTGACTGCAGCAGAAATTCTTGGCTATGATTTTTATTTAAAATAGATACACTGAAAGAATTTAAAAAAATAGATTTTTACAAAGTTACATTTTTCAAAAATTGTTATCAAGATAAATGAAGACAACTGTAGCTAAATGGACAAAATTTCTTGGGGACGGGGGGGGTTTCCAACCTAAAAAAATTTTTTTTTCTTGCTTTCTCTCTCTCACACACACACACACACACACTTAACTGAACTTTTACAAAAAGGCACAGGAAAAAAGAAAAGAAAAAGATTCTTCATTCATAGTTGTTTGTGTCAACTAAAGAGCTTTCCAGTTAGAAAATGTCCACATCTTCTGGAGCATCTAAATCTCTGTATTCAATTATGGATCTCGGATCAGGACGTCTAGAAAAAAAAGCGGTAAAAAGAGAAAAATATTAAATTTTCAATTCAATTGATCAGTAAATAAAATTTAAAAAAATTTTTTTTCTTTTTGATTTCTATGATGCAACTGAATTTTGTCACTAAAACAATTTGCTAACATTTTGTCTCAAATAAAACTGAACAACAGCAAAAAAAAAAAAAAAAAAAATTAAAGTTGGTAATTTGTAGTGTTTTTAATTATTTCAAAAGAGGTGTACATTACTGCAAAGAAAGCAAATGATCACAAATAATAAAGAGATTCAAGTTGAAGGAGGAACGTTGAAGAAGTGTTTTCAATATAGAAAGTTTGCTTTTACCTGTATGGTTTAGCATAACCACCAACACCCCCTCTTCTATAATCAAGACGATAATTATCTCGGGTATAGTTGGATGTACCATAAGGAGCAGGAGGACCTGAGAGAAAGAGAGAAATTAATAAAAGCATTATTATATCAAGTTTTTGTTATGAAAGAAAAATACAGATATTCTGATAAAGTTTCTTTGATTCAAATTATCTGAATGGGACATTTTTATTCTGTCGGTCATTTAAGAGATTATACCAATTCTATGTTCATTCTTACAGTGATTAAGACAACCAGAGCAAAGCAGAAAGATTTAATAGAATACAAACTTGGTTTTATTTAGACAATTCTACAACAGTAAAATAGTTTAAAAGAGAAAAAACAAAGGAGGGGCCTACATACAATATTTGATTTGGGGGTGGGTAAATTACCTGCATAAAGCAGAGGAGGACGTGGTTGATTATATGCTAGCATCTGGGGGAGACCTTGATAAGCATTGGCATTGCCTGGGCCTAGGAGGCTGTCCCGTTGGCCACCTGAAGTGGAGGGTCCTGTCTGTTTGTTGCCTGGATGTTCAGGGAGTTGTGGTCGTTTGGGATCCAAGAGATAATTGTTGAAGAAAGATACCTTTCAAAATAAAAAAGAGGAAAGCATAGTTTGAGCAACAAATACCAAGATGTTCTAGAAATTCCTGGTGATGAGAGAGAGAGAGCATTCAAAATTTGATGTAAAGAAATATCAGTTCAAGATAAACAAGTATTCAACATTAAAACCATTCACTGGGAAAATGTATTTGTTGTGGATCCTTTTTGATAACAAAGTAGGAATTTGTAGATTGAGATAAAAACAGTAAACGCAAAATAATTGTCCTGGAGCAGCTGACAATATATTTTACCAACACCACACACAAATATTATCTCCTAGAATATCTTGCCCTTTTAATTGGTTAAAAGAGGAGAAAAGTAGATTGTGATGATTGAGAATGGTGATTGATTGATTTGCAATAATCTCCTAAGAATAGACAAGTATTAAGTAGATTTAACAGTGGTAGAGGTATATCTTGAAAGCTATTAGCATGAAAACAAAAATAACATTAAACTGGAAATAATTAACGAACAGAGCTTTGCTTTCCCATGTGTGCTTCTGTGAAAAATGAACATTTGCTATGAGGACTTGTTAGGAAATATTACATTTGATGACCAAATAAACTAAGAAGAAAAAAGATGACTGGAGATGGCACTTAACCTAAGATAGACATTAATTATTCCAATATACACTAGAGACTGGAATTTGAAATTTGTATCAATGGAGATATAAACTTTAGACAAACATGTCAAAACATTACCATATATATATATATATATATATATATATATATATATATATATATATATATATATATATATATATATATAAAAAGGTACCTCCATAGAATTGTGACAGCTAAGATTTAAAATGAATTTTTAAGAAATTTTTATTTTAGTTTTAATTTCAAGTTAATAAATTTAATATTTCCAATAAGCAAAATACTTTGTAGTATTTCAAAACTAACTTAAGCCGATTGGGAAGAGTTTTCGTTTTAGTGCCATTTTCAGCCACCTATCAAAAAATCTTCAAAAAATCAAAAAATAAAATACTTTTCTGAAACTGAGGAATAATAGCTAATTTAAAGCATAATTAATCTGATTTGAAACATATTTATTTAAAGTTTAAAATATCACAGAAATGTATTTTTGAACATGTCAGTAGCTTTTTATTTAATCTGATGTAATGACAGATTGATGTCTGTCTAATGTTGTTCTACAGGGGCTTTATTAAAAAAAAAATAAATAAATAAATATAACATGAGCAACTTTTGTATATAATTTTTAAACACTCAGTAATCTTAAAAATTTAGGAAAATATTCTCTGTAATATTTTATTGAATTTGAGATATTTTGGCTTTAAATTTACTATTGGCTCTTATTTTCTGATAATATTGTCTATGGTCATCCATATCTACAAAAATCAGCACATTTATACATATACAAAAAATTCAAAATTCTTAAAAAAATGATTTTTACTAAGCTTTTCCATTTATGATTAGTAAATATAATTTTTACTTAATATAATTTAAAAAGGTGAAGTTAATACAGAACTTTAAAAGATTTAAAACTTAATTACTCTAAAATAAAATTAAAACAATTCTTGTAAAAATCCATTATTCATCAAAAAAATTTTTTTCTTAAGATAGTAGTGTCCTTAATATAACTTATTTAAAAATGTAATTAAAAGCTTTTCTAATTATTGCACCTTTTATTTTATGATTCAGAGCAGATTTTCAGTAAATGGTGTTTCTATTTTACAAAACAAATTGATGATTTAAATTCTCCAAGGAGTCTTGCTTTTAACTAATATAAATATGCAGATGATGGAATTTTAATTTCTCAAAATTTAATAAAATTAAGTAAGTAGGGATAACAGATGCAGCAAAAAAAAATAATTATTCATTTGTGAATAAGTGCTCAAAATTTCATTAAAATTCGATAATTATTTAGATTTTGCAAGAAATCAATGTTTTTTTACCACAAAAAAAGATGCTAAAATTTCCTCTAGTAATCCTGTTAGGGGTGGGCACCAGGTGAATAAAAATGTTTACCTCTTTTTTGACTTCCTCAATTTTTTCACCATGCTTATTGAATATGTGTTTCTTTACATAATCTGGACCTTTGAACTTCTTACCACTGAGTGGACAAAGCCATTTGTCTTTGGCTAATTCTTGTGTGTTGGAAGTCACAAATTTTTCCACTTCACTGAACACCAAGTTAAGGATTAAACAACTTTTAAATGATATCAGTCTTTAAGAAAACAAAACAGACATTTCTCTCTGGAACTAAGACATATTTCCTATGAAAAACTGACAATTTATCAAAAGTACAAAAAGGGAAATCAGAGGAGAGCTACCCACCCAACAATGCTATTAAAAAAATAATCATATTCTACTGATCATAAATTGTCAGGAAAAAAAAGAAAATAAAAAGATTCTAATTTCTAATTATCCACCCACACACACTTTTTTTTTTACTAAAATATTTATCAACTATCAAATGCCTATTTTGTTTTAAGAAAGGCAAAGATTTAGCAATGTTTAGAGGTCATTTGGGAAATAGGGTTGCTCTTTTGCAAGTTGTTACAAATGTATAAAAATACAAATCAATTGAATCCAAGTTTTAATAAAACCAAAATTAAAAACAAACATCAACTTTGAATGAAAGAAAGAAAAGGATACACATCAGGGTCTTTTCTACCCAACTGGATAGATTCTGCTTTCTCCAAAAGGTCTTGCATTTCAACAAAGCTTTTCACTTTAGTCTCAAAATTTGTCATCCATTCAGTCACTGTAAAAGTAGGAATAAAAATTATTTAATATTTTTTTTCATCCTTATTCAAAAAAAAAAAAATAAATAAATAAATAAATAAAATAAAAAGTTTACAAGGGATTGCTGAAAAGTTCTTGGCCTAACCAAACTAAAGAATTAGATTTCTCTTCTCTTCTCTTTCTGGGGAACAAGGCTACTTGGTTCTGATGAGAACTTTTTAGCAATGTAAAACTTTTTCTTTTTTTTTTTTTTTTTTATTACAAAATTCAATTTTTATGATATACATGAAATTTATCCAATCTCTTAACACCTATCAAAGATAGAAAACTAAAAAAAGACTAAACATCCCTAATTCTCATTTGGGAATTCTATCAAGAGTCTGATGAGATGATTAACGATTAGCAAGTAGGAGTGCTTGATTATTAACAAAGAGAATCAACTGATTTCTCTCATTTGCCTTAAGGCCATAATGAAAACAAATGTAATGAATTTATATTCTCCCCACTACAGGTTTCAATAAAGGAAAAGATGATTCTCTGCTGTCAGTGCCTAGTATATGGGAAACAAAACAAAATATGTTTGACAAATTCTAATAGTGGAAAAGATGCAAGAAACCTTAAGATAAAACAAATTCTTTGGTAAACCACTCAGCACACAAACTAAGGATATAGCCTCTAATTTCATCACTTGGTGGGAGCTGAGATTTGCACACAAAAAGCCTCATGAGAGTCATTCAGTGGATCGATCCAGCTGTCCCCACCCACATAGCTCCAATAAATGATTGAATAGGGAAGTGAATAAAACTCTTTATAGCCTCGTTCATCAGATTGTCAGTGACCAAAGTAAGTTTCCCCACCCTAATTCAAAAAGGGATGAGGAGGATGGTTAGACAACATGTATAATAAAAAAATATGACATACCAAAGGGGCAACAGCCAGCTATCTAGAGGGGCTGTCTTGATAAAGTCGCCTTAGAGAAAAGCAATGGGAAATCATTCCTTTATGAAGAGAGTCAGCTCTGTTGGAAGAGATCTTTGCTCACATGGAAAGACATGTACAACAAAAATCATAACCGAGACATAAATTGTTAGGACATCAGAAAATGTCCAAAAAGGGATATGGAAACGTGAAAGAGCAACAATTCTCAGAGTCTGTGAAATAAAATGAAAATATATATATATATATATATATATATATATATATATATATATATATATATAAATAAACATTATTTAGCAGATACATGTATTTGAGTAAACAGCCCTTTTTTTTTTTCTTTACAGTGATGTTCACCCTGTATAAGGCCCAAAAGCCACAATTTCTGTGTGATATGTGGAGAAAATAATCTGTTTAATTCTGGGATTTACCATTTTGTAATCATGGCTGCATCCTTTTAAGAGTTGGTTCCACAAAGCACCAGTTCATTAAAAAAAAAAAAAAAAAAAAAAAAAAAAGAGAGTTTCTCAAGTGGAACTTACATTTCCACCAATGGTATAAAAAGGGAATATGGATGGTTCACTACAATGTGCATGGCATGGCAGGTCTTAGCTGCGAAGGCCAGAGAACTGGAGGAACTAAGGAATGTCGTTCATCTGAAACACTTTCCATGGAAAGAGTGAGAGGCTTGCAACATTTTATCTGTGAGAAAGTGGTATACAGTGGAAAACAATCCATCACTCACAAGGGCGGGGAGAGGCTTTTGAACTCTCAATACTGAAAAGTGAAGACTGAGTAGCTCCTGCCCATATATGGCAGCAGTACCCCATTTTTGGCCTGATCTGGCTCTTGTAAAAGAGGAGCTGGTTACTTACTGGATCAATACAGGGAACCAACCATTTTTCCAGCATCTTTAGCAGTGGATTGTATCATGAGTTCCACTTGAGAACTGGGCTGTGTTCAGGTTACAACAGCTGCTCAAGACATGGAATATCCCTGAGAGAATCCTCCCTTCAACATGATATGTGAAAATTCAGGGCCTGAATGATGGAACATCACTAGTTTGGTTTTTGAGGCTTTGAATGTAACCAGCCAGTTCCGCCCCACGCCAGCTACTGAGCTGTTAAAGCTAGGTAAGAGAAGAGATAAGCTGACAGTCACTGGTCATCTAGGGTTTTGGAGATTTACCCGTATGCCGTTGTATCATCAGCATAGACATTCACAAATGACTGAAGTATACGCTTAGACAAATCATTTATGTAAAGTAGAAAGATGGTTGGTCCGAGAAACGAACTCTGGAGGATGTCTACATTGACGGGCTGTTACCTATTGAGATACAGAATGAGGAAAGAAGACCTAGAGAATTTAACATTCACAAGACATTGAAGAAATGAGAACTAGCATGTAACTTACGTAACAATTTTGTGTGGATGGACAGCAAAACAAAATCAAAAAGAGATGGTAAAAGGCAACAAAAGACAGGAAGTTGAAGGGAGCCATTCTTACCCTGAAAGGATTTAGCAGATAAAAGTGAGTTTGACCCTCACTAGGTGCTCCCATACTTGTGGATTTGTGCCATGTCAAATTAATTCTTTAACACCAGGTCAGAGCGGACCTAGGAACATCAGCAATTAAGAGGTGGTTCCACACTCCTCAAAGCCTCCTGATCAAAAGCCTTACAGTTGGACATAGTTTATCGTCATACCCTGGACGCGGATGTAGTTTATTGTCATACCCAGGATGCTCAGAGTAACATCCAAGATGTTATGATACAGCCCAATATTGCACACTAAATTGATGAGGATATTAGTCAGAATATAAATAATAATGTTATATGAATGTACTTTTCATTTTGATATTGACAGGAGAGAAAACAAAATCTATATTCATAGTAAATGTGTTTCTTCTGATAAGCTGAAAAACCAAGTGCTGAGCTGTCAGTTGTGAAAAGATCACATCGGCCAGAACAAGCTTACCATCATTCTGTGTCATTTTGAGAGGTGGTGGGGCACGTCCATGGATAATACCACATCTATGGGGCATCTCATCTTCATTTGGATACTCGCTGGCACTATAGTAATCCAATGAGTGGACAATACGCAAGTAGAGGATCATGCGGTCAAGAACCTGTAAGACAAACAACACGTGTCAAGGCCCAAATAAAATATGCCATTTTAGATACATCAGGAACATCCAGTTTGTTAGGCAGGAAGAAAAAGTGCAAAATGAAATTCAAGCTCCAAACACAACAAGGATTAAATATTTACACCTTTATATCTGTTGTATCAGACTTTAATCAAGTTTGATTCAAGGCCAAATGCAGAGAGTGAATTGAAGAATGAGTGCGCTGCATCAACAAACTGCAAATGAAAATCTAAATTCTGATAATAACAGAGAAAAGTGAGAAAGCAATTTTGAGCTGGAAGAGACTTACAGAAAGAAGAGTGGCATCTCTTTCAACTGATATTTCTTGCATTCCTTCTTTGGGTTTGTCTTTATCATCAACACTTTCACCTGAACAAAAAAAAAAAAAAATCATTTCAAACAGTGAAGGATTTTACATGAATGGCTTTAAAATGACTAAGCTAAGAAGGCTGCACAATTTGTCCAAGACAAATATGAAACTGTGCAAAGCAGGAAAAAATCAGTTTCTTGAGATTGTGCATTCAGGAAGTAATCATTAGTCTGGCACAAGATTCCTAATGAGGAATTAAACTAACTACACTTAACAAAATGGTCAGGGAGGAGGCTTGCTCATTATCAGAATTAGCAAAAGGATGTTTATGTTTTTTTTTCAGATAGAACAGAAAACAGGGATCAAGGAAATTATGGAAAAAAAAAAAAAAAAAAAAAAAAACTATAAAAAAAAGATATATATGCCAAACATAAAATGAACAATATCAAATGAGGAAGTGGAGTAGATGATTAAGACAACAGAAAATAGAGTTTTATATGTCCTCCAAATTTACAGGGGATTGTTTTTCATAATAAAATGTTGAATTTGAATGATTGAAAGAAAAAAATGGGAAAGAGAAGTGAAAATAAATTTCCAAATCCTAAGCAGCCGATTGGAGAAAAAGAACAGTTGCAGCATTAAACCCAGAAAATATTTGCATCTTTCAATCTAATAATTATGAAGTGGTGATGGCTTTGATTTCGACTTACCAAGAAGCTCTTCCTCCTCATAACTGCCTTCTTCAACAAGATAATCTGTTATGTTCTTCAACACAGGATTCTTTGACACCAAACCATATGACTGCACAAATAGAATACATATCAGTCATAACATTATCTGCCTCTAAATAAAAGGGAAGGCAAACAATATTCTTTACATTGAAAAATAGTTTCTATTTAAAAAAAAAAAGGCTGAAGTAAATCTCTCAAGTTGAAGGGGAAATCTGTTTTATAACAAAATCTAAACATCACCAAAATTTGGTATTTCATAAAAAAAAAGTTAAAACAAAATTAAATAAAGCATCAAATAAATGAAAATTAAATAAATAAATCATGTAAATAATTAAAAAAAAAAAAACTAAAAAACTAAATTGGGAAATTTGCCATCTTCCTTTTACCTTTTCGGCATCTTTCTTCTCCTCACCCACATCTTCCCAGAGTTTCCACTTAGAGTCCAAGTTTTGGATAATCTTAGCCGTAAGTTTGATGTCCTGCTTGACAATGGGCTTGTGGGCCGTAATGCCATGGACGGGGCGCACTCGCTGCTTCAGCTCCCTGTTCACGATGGCCCCCAGTTCACAGTCACGCAGCTAAAAGTAATAATAAAAAAAAAAAAAAAAAAGAGGTTTTTTTAAAACATAATTTAAAATTTTATCAAAAGACTTATCAATAATTAAAGAGGGAACAATTTTGTAAATTTAAAATAACAAAATAAATTTTTGGAATGAATCTATAAAAATTACTTATTTCCTTAAAAAACAACTTTCTTTGTTACCCAAATAAACCTAAACTAACACAGTAAGCACAAGTGTAAATTACTTATTTTGCTAAAAAAAAGTGCAAATTTTAAATATTTCTCAAAGTTGAGAAATTAAAATCATAAAAAAAAAAAAAAAATCCTAAACTAAATAAAAATATCAGCTTACACGAATGTTATTGAGATTCCAACAGATTTCTTTAATGTTGACATTACGTTCAAAAGTGACCCAACCACGTCTGAAAAACCTGCGTTCTGGTTGTGGGTCCTGAAGAGCTACTCGCATGAAACCAGGATAGCGCCGACATGTCTACAAAGAAAATGGCAAAAAGTTCTTACTGAGTGAGAAAGCATAAACTTTTAACTTGAAAATATGAAGAATCAAGACCTCCCCCACCTGCAACAAAGTCCTGAATCAATCCTAAAGGGACATATTTCCAAATAATTTCATTTGGAGATGCATTACACTTATCACCTGTATTGATGGTTTCCCCAAAAATCCTTCTCTCTGGCCTGCCTAAAATTGATGGAGATCTATTGAGCCAACAATTTTAAGAGTCACTTAGCTTAGATGAAAACCAGATATACAAATTGGGCAGGGGAGGGGGTATCTCCATTATCCATTCGAGAGAAAACAAAAGTAAAATCGAAATATGGGAGAGAGAGAGAGAAATGCACATACATTCAGTAGAATCACAATATCACACATTGCAGACAAAAAATGCTTTCATGGCATAATAATAATAAAAAAAAAACATTCAAATCAATGCCATTTACGAGGAATACATTAATCAAGAGACAGAATAACCAAACAATTTCTTTTGTTATTGGCTAAAATGAAAACAAATTCAAAAATTTTTGTGATTTTAAAATATTTACCCCCCCCCCCCCCAAAAAACACACACACACACACAATTCTTTTGCAAAAGACTTTTCCTGGTGAAACAAACAATACACTCACAGCAACGACCTCTTGTTTGGTAATTGAAGGAGCAAGGTTGCGTAGAAATATTGAGCAAGTTTTGTGGAGAGCACGAGGTGCCTGACTGCCGTTGGATTTGTGTTGAACACCATCTTCGGCAGTATCCACATCTTTCTCTTTTTCATCTGAAAGAAAACATAGCTTTATTACCATTCATCAATTACACATTTGAACTGAAATTCAAATTGAGCAAAGTTTAGGCTATTCTAATATCGAGAATAAATTTTGAATTTCTTAAAAATGATGAAATATTTGTTTTGTTAAAAGAAAACTACTAATCTTGCAAAACATTACAAATCTGTGCTATACAAAAAGAGTCAGCTAAGTACTAATAAAACTAATTTGAAATCAGGAAGAAAATTGGCTACTACTTCATTTGTGGGATTTTTTTTATCTTGTATTCCTAAAATGTCATCACGAACTAGACTCTCTTTGCTTTAATTAAATTCCAAATCATTTAATGAAAATTTTCAAATTATTCTTAAAAAGTGAAATTATCAAGACAATCTTACAAAGATATGTCATCACTTAACCTCATTCCCAAATTGGAATAATTTTTGTTTTGCACAGAATTAAATTTAAATCTCAAATCAAACATGGTTATTATTTAATGATTCTTATAGACTAGCATCTTCTTCTTTATTGTTTTCATTATATTATTTAAATGGATATACTTTCAAAAACCCTATTTGGATTCTTTAAGGAATCAGTACCTATGCTATTTGGCAAGCTTAGCTGAGACTATTTAGGGAAACCCTGTGTATAAAAAGAACCAAGATCATAAAAAGATTGATTCCTGCTGCAAAAGCAAGTTCAATCTTTAGATTAGGCACTGAAAAAATAAATCAGCTTAGTGAAAGAATACATTTTTTAAGAAGAAAATAAGACAACTATCTCTTTTTAAGGATGGCAAACATGATAAAAGTGAGACAAGAATAAAGCCCACACAATTCCAATTTGCTTCAAGATCATTGTATGCAGTTTCCACTTGAAACAATAGACTAAATATTATTACAAAGATGAGAATAGAAGAATTTAGGCTATGGTTTAATTACATGATATCAACTGTGATGAAAAATGAAATTAAAGTTAAACTTTTAACAAAAAAAATTTTTTTTTTTAAACCATTCAATATTTAAATTTAACTTTAAATGAGTTATTTAATTTTTAATTACATGCAACTACAGTAGTTACTGTCTATTACTTCAGATTGTTTATGATTCACCGAGATCAGAAAATGGACAGACGGACAGACACATGTACTCTGCACTTCATTTATATAGAATAGAATTTAACTTTTCTTTTTTAAAAAACATTGAAAACTTTTCCACCCAATTTTTGTAATATAAAAAGAAAAAGAAAACCAAGGTTTTGTTTTAAAACTTTAGACAATGTTAACAAAATAACAATGTTAACAAAATAACAATGTTAACAAAATAACAATGTTAACAAAATAACAATGTTAACAAAATAACAATGTTAACAAAATAACAATGTTAACAAAATAACAATGTTAACAAAATAACAATGTTAACAAAATAACAATGTTAACAAAATAACAATGTTAACAAAATAACAATGTTAACAAAATAACAATGTTAACAAAATAACAATGTTAACAAAATAACAATGTTAACAAAATAACAATGTTAACAAAATAACAATGTTAACAAAATAACAATGTTAACAAAATAACAATGTTAACAAAATAACAATGTTAACAAAATAACAATGTTAACAAAATAACAATGTTAACAAAATAACAATGTTAACAAAATAACAATGTTAACAAAATAACAATGTTAACAAAATAACAATGTTAACAAAATAACAATGTTAACAAAATAACAATGTTAACAAAATAACAATGTTAACAAAATAACAATGTTAACAAAATAACAATGTTAACAAAATAACAATGTTAACAAAATAACAATGTTAACAAAATAACAATGTATGCATATGGCTAAATTTTGAAAAAATAAAAATAAAAGGTTGATTGCTGACCAGATTTCATTTCCTTTTCTGCCGAACTTTCTGCATCTTCTTCCTCTTCCTCCTCATCCTCTTCTTCCTCCTCTTCATCTTCTTCTGACTTCTCCCCTTCATCTTCCTCCTCGTCACTTTTTTCTTTTGTTTCTTCCACATTTGTCATAGGAGAATCTTCCATACTGGCTACAGGAGGATCATCAACACCTGAAAGAAAATTTTAACAAAGAAATTTAACAAGGTTTACAAGTTTCTCAAAGATACAGGTGATAATATTTAAAAAAAAAAAAAACAAAACAATAGCAACAAAAGCTGGGGATAACTTTTTTGTTTTTGGCAGGCACTCACCTGGAGGAGCAGGTTCTGGTTCAGAATCAGAACCACTCTCAGATTCAGATCCTGTTTCGTAGCTGTATTCTGTTTTGTCACGGTGACGTTTCTTTTTGCCTTTGGTCTCCCGATCCTTCAAAGAGAAGGAAGAAAGGAAAAAAAAAAAAAAAAAAGAATTTAAAACATCATAATGGATCAAATTCTAAAGATTAGTAAACTATTCATCACCACAAAAGACCAAAGATTTTCTCCAATCCTGATAAGCAGCCATATACCCTCAAAATAAGACTCATTAAACGCCTATTCAGTCTAAAGCTCACTCAAGTTCTCAAATATTCTTGTCATCACCAAAAATACTGGAAGAATGGTCGGTTCCTTATACTGCTTGAGAAAAATACCAGATTCCTGCTGCCATGTGCTATCTTTACAAGTATCAGAGCAAGAATGGAGTATTGATGCCATGTGTGTGTAGGAGAGGGGGCTGGTAGTGCCTAATTCTCAATGTCCAGAGTTCAAAATATTATGCATCCTTGTGGATGATGAATTATTCTCTACCCTGTGACCCTTAGCCCACAGACAAAACATTGTTAATCTCTCACTACTTGATTGCTATTATTATGGCAAATGTTCAAATAATTTACAAACAATACTTCCACCAGCTCAGGCCTTCACATCTAGGACCTGCCATGTTACATAATCCCCCATTCACTTCATGTTCCTTTGGGTAAAGAGTAAGTTTCACTCAGAACTAAAGAATGAACTCCCGAGAAGGTGCTTCCCTGACCACTACAATCTTAACCTATTCAAGTCTCTGGGTCAACCATTATTCTATGCTACATATCCTCATAATATTCACTTCCAGCTTCCTTCTTCTCCCTCTCTTACAAGTCTCACTCATTAATCCTCTTTGTGTGGCCCTTGGGCCTTGTATTAGTTAACTAAAAAAAATATTTTAATACATTAAGTCAAAATCAATAGAAAAAAAATTATATTTGAGCAATCGAGATCTTGCTAATGAGAAGCTGAAAAAAGGTTTTTATGAATAGAGACCCCAGCAAAATGTTATTCAATTTCAGACAGAAAACTTACATTAATTAATATTACTAGAAAAGGTTAACATGAATGGCAAAAATATTAAAATAGATTGAAACAGAAGTTGATTCTGAAACACTTGAAATCTAAAAGACTTAGAATTTCTTACTAAATGGAAAACTGTGTCAACCTGGTTAGTAAAATAGTTTTAGGAAATATAAAGAGAGAGAGAGTTACAAACAAGAAATAATAAAAATTACAGTTTAAACTTCTATTGTCTCAATTCATTGCACAAGAAAATAGTATAAGATTCCCACTTTAGTAATTCATAAATGATGTAATCCTTTACCCAAAGTTTATATCATTTATAGCAGGAGACAAAGTTTATACAGGTAGAGCAATGATTTCCAACATGGGGTGTATGCCCCACTGCATGGTAATATTTTGGTGGGGCATGCATAGGATGTACAACCTTTGGTTTTTTATATATCAACAGAATAAGAGGGCAATTCAAGAATGAGTTATTAACAGTGAATTGTTTTCTAGTGAGTCTGAGTGAGAGTATTAATGTTAACACATTAGTACATATGATGCATATACAGTATGCCTACATAAAAATATTTTGTATGTATGTATGTATGTACATGTGTAATTGGTATACATGTAAGAATATTATTGGACACCAGAATTTTAGAAATACCAAAGTGGGGCACAGCCCAAAATCAGTTGAGAAACACTAATGCAGAGAGTAAGAGACCTGTTAATAAAACATGCTCAAGATTATTTGAATGTTTCTTCAATGGCTAAAGATTTTATTAAAAAAAATAAAAACAAATAATTGGCAACTTTTAAAAGTCTCAACATACTTCCTCTTCTCCTCCATTGCCATCTTCAGATTGATTCTGTTGTTGTTTGGAGAATTCTTGAGCCTGTCTCTGCAGTTCTTCTTGTTCTTTACTGATTGGCAGTTCCAGAGGTTGCTATAGAGTTGAAAAGAAAACATTTTACAGATCTTATATGAAGAGTGCATAAACAAACAAATATGCATACACAATTTTTGCTGTTTTTTTTTGGGGGGGGTGAAGTATCAATGCTTTAAACAGCTAAAACTGAAACAAGCAATAAATACACCCAGCATTTATGGTTGAAATTTTAACTCATTTTAAATTATGAGAGATTTTTAAAATTCAAATTCAAACCATCTTCCAAGTAGCACATCATACAAACCATAATTTATTTGATAATATGTATTGGGAAATAGTAAAAGAAGAAAATACTTACATCAGGTTGCTTATCTTCTTCCTCTTTGTTGTCCTCTTTTTTTTCAGTTTTTTCTTTCTTTTTCTCATTCTGTGCAAACGATTCTTCGGGAGATTTGGAATGTTTTACTGGAGTGCTTTTCTCAACTTCTTCCTCAATTCTGAAAAATGAGAACATTTAAATATCAAGACAAAAAAAAAAAAAAAATGAAATCAGATAATAACTATTAAACAAGTCAAATTCTCCATAAAGTTGAATAAAAACAACTAGATAAGTATATTTACAAGTGATAATAATATAGCAAAGACCATCTCAGTGTCTTGAACATTAAATACTTTCATAATTCCATATCATTTTCTTTCCCTTCATCTGTTGTTTCAAATTCATTTTATTCAAGCGATATGAGCAAGGCAAAAGAATGTATCCACTTTTTTGAAATTTGTTTTCTTTTTTTGCTATCAGAAAACATGAATCCTAAAAAAAAAAAAAAAAAAAAAAAACCACACAACAAAATAGTTTAGGTTGTATTCATATCTATTTGATGATGACCCCTCCCCCTATCAAAAGCATTTCTTGAGCCATGAATTCCAAGTGCTATAAATCATTACCCTATATCATTGACCATTAATAGAATTATGCCTTAACCCCGACAAGAAATCCTTTCAATGTCATTATAATATTTTATGAATTCCTTCACAAACAGTTGGGCCAATTTCTTTCATCCTTGTTTCAAGTCTTAGTTTTAATTCATTCCAAACTTTTCTAGATGTTCTACCTTCCATTTGTTTCCAGCATCTCTCTGATCATTTCTCTTATATAATTACATGTGATGTTGTATGTGTAGTTACTGGTCATATTGTGAGACAATTACATACTGTAGTTTTACAAAAGCCTCTACTCCAATATAAATACTAACTGTAGTACCTTTTTTAAGGGGTTTTTAACAACCAGTTTTGTATGGACAAAGGACAAAATAAAAGTACTAAGTAAATTCTACAGACCAAATACAACCTGAAGAAGGCCAAAAATGCCTACGCATTGTGATAACACAGATGAAGACAAACCATACAAAGAAGGCAATGACATAAAAGTCTTTTTCTGACATTTGTCAAAAGAAAGCACAAATCTATCAAATCAAAAAAGTTGCCTTAAAAACAAAAAAAGTCTTCAAATGGATTTTGGCCCTTCCATTCATTGCCATGGAAGCAACTGTTGGAGAAAAGAATCTACAAATATATTATCCTCATCCCCTTACTTTTTCTCACTGTGGACTTGTGACTCTGAGCTGTTTCGGCTTCGCAGATTATCTTCCTTCTCTAAAGATTCTGGTTCATCCAAAATTTTCAGGTCCGTATCATCTCCACCTTCCAGTTTGATAACAGCTGGTAAAAGGCAATGTCAAGGGAAAGAAAAAAAAAAAAAAATCAAGTTAAATTCATATATTCTTTACAGAATCTTTCAAGTCAGCATTAACAATTCACAAACACACTTCATATATCATATTTTACTTATATATATATGAAATAACGATATTTAAATAATAATTGGCTTTATTTGGGGAGCTGATTGCCAATGCAATGCCTAACTATGCGTTTTTCTTGTCCCCACCCCTAGTTTTGGTATATTTTAACACCACTTCAGAGTCTGTCTATATTTGTGAGATGAGGTATTATGTACATTATTTGAACTATTGTCCTCATCTTGTCGCCATATTTATTACAACGTTTCGGCCGTTGTACACTCCGGCCTTCTTCAGGTGGTTGGAATGTCGAACTAAACCCTTTATTTCGCTCACTGGGGTAGACTATTCTAGTTCCACGTGCCGTGTTTGATGGATGTCAGTTATCTCCTGTTAATTTCCCTCTGAAAGTTCTCCACTGCCTTAACTGGGTATTGAACTCACACTCTTTGGGTCCTGTCACTGGATCTAACCAACGCCTTTTATCCACTGTGCCATGTGCCCTTGAGGAATTACTCGGACATTCAGGCTGGTAAATGCTGTTAATACTGTTTACTATAAACAGAGCATTTACTTAAATATTTGTATCTATAATAAGAACGTATGAACATAAAAAATGTCTTAAAAATAATTGCCGAACTTTACCCATTTCATATATATATATATATATATATATATATATATATATATATATATATAGGTACCTCCATTCAATTTTCCGATACCTAAGGTTTAAAATGAATTTTTAAAAAATGAAAAAGCATTCTTAAAGATTTTATTTTTGCTTTAATTGAAAGCTAAGGATTAAATTTATTATTTCCAGTAACTAAAATATTCTGGTGTATTTCAGATAGAAATTATATAGATTGGAATGTCAAATATATCCCCAATTTTTTTTTAATTTCTTAAAAGCGGCCATTTTCTTAAATTTTAAGAAATTTATAAAAAAAAAAAAAAAAATATTTCAATTATAAACTTCTTCCTAAAATAAATTATATATTTTTGACACGTTATTTGAGTAAAATTAGAAAATTTAAAGTTAAATTATTCTGATTTGAAACAAACGGTACTTATAGCATAAAAAAATTGTATCCAAACATTTCTTAACAATGTGTCTGAATTTGTTCATGTCTTTATTCACGTTATCGATGTTATCGAGATGTTAAAGAGGTGATGACAGCTATTACAGATGATCAAATTTGACAATTTTACGAAGTGAGTGAATGCATTTTTTATTTTTAACTAGTAATTTTTAAATATTAAAATTTATTCAGCAATTATGTAACATTTATTTTTTAGTCTGGATTTTGTTTCTTAGGTTCTTAATCTTTTTATCAACTTACTAACTTAAATAAAAAAATTACTTCAATGAAATATGACCCAAACTAAAATAAATACTTAAAATAAAAATATTTAGTAAAAAAGTAATTCACAAAAATTAACTTAGAAATTTGGAAAGGACTTTTTGCAAACATGTTAACGATATGAAACAGAACTGGATATTGAAGGGAAATAATTGCAGTGCCTCAGACAACAATCAAATCCCGTGATCTTTTTAAGGATTATGTCATGTATAGATTCCCCATAGACAGAAATTAGGAACGTTTTTTTTTTTCACTAAAAATTATTTTTAAAATTACTTTAAAAATAATTGGGTACAAACAACTTATGAGCTTTTCAAGTTTCGATTCATAAATTTACTTTACCATTAATGTTATCATTGCATTACGTGAATAAAAGCAAAAAAGAATTTTAAACGATTTTTGAAGCATTAATATGGGTATGTCCACTATTTCGGCATAAATTTTCTATATTGAAGTTTAAAATGATTTTTTTACAACGAAAAAACATTCTTGAAGATTTCATTTTAGCTTTAATTGAAAGTTTAATAATTAAATTTACGATTTCTATTAATTAAACAATTCTGGTGTATTTCAGATAGAAACTATATACATTTGATTGTCAAATTTAATTTCAAATTTTTAAATTTTCTTAAAAACGGCCATTTTCTTAATTTTAAGAAATTTGTAAACAAACACAAATTTATCGATTTTTAAAATATTTAAAAAAAATTCTGACACGTTATTTTACTAAAATTAAAAAATTTAAAATTAAAGTAATCTGATTTCAAAGAAATCTTTGTTACTTATAGCATAAAAAAATAATATACAACCAATTATTAACGAGCGGTCCCGTTCAGTTGTTCGATCTTATTGATGATGGTTGATTGACGAGCCGATGACAGCTACTACTGATGACCATAAATGAAATAATTTTTTAAGTCTGAGTTTTTAAAAAAATTATTCTATTTGAGTATGACACACACTAATGGAAATACAATACATAAAATAAAATTATTTAGTGAAATAGTAAATTAAAAAAAGAAAAATAATTTAAAATTTAAAGTTTACACTTTTACAGCTGAACGGAAAATACAATCTGTTAAGAAACGAAATGTTTTGAAAAGGCCATGTAAAGGGACAAAACCCTTAGATCACGTGACCTTGTTATAATAATGGCAATTTCTGTATATCATACATGGAAATAAGGAATGTATTAAGTAAAAAAATACAACATAAAAAAATTATTTTTTAAAAAAGTAGCGCAACTAAATTTATTAAACTTAGCAATTTTGGACTCATAAATTTTTTTTTTTCTACTTAATTACTACATAATATTGAGGAGCCCTCCTAATACAGAGCTTTTACACGATGTTAAACTATTATAAATTATTATAATTAAAATTTCTTAAAAAACGAAAAAATTCTTGTAAAAATTAATTATTCATCAGAAAAAATTATTTCTTCAGACAATAATGTCCTTAATATTACTTATTTACAAAAAGCAATTAAAAGCTTTTTCTAATTAAGTAATATCATAGTTTTATTGGATTCATTATTTTTTCATTTCAGACAAGATTTTCAGTTAAGTAGCTCAAATTTGTAAAAGAAAAGTAGGTTATTATTCCAAAGACTCCTTCTTTTAACAAAAAAATAAAATTGAGGAGCCAAAAAGGTTTTGGGCGAAATTTCATGAAATTAACTAAGTGGGGGGTAACATATTTAAAAAAAAAATATTTTTTACCAAAATTTTCTAAAAACAAAATATTTCAAAAATAATTTCATTCATTTGTGAATAAGTCCTGAAAATTTCATTAAGATTGGACAATTATTTTATTTTTACAAGAATTTCCAAATCAATATGTTTTCAACGGTAATTATGTTATTTTAAACATCACCGCGATGACGTAAACAAAGACGACTTTAACCAAAATTTCGAACATGTTAGAAAATATTAAAAAATTTCAAAAAATAATTAAAAATACTTTTTTCTTTCATCTTAATAACAACATAAGCATTTTGACGATAATACTTTATTTTCTTTAAGTTTGTGGCATTTTTCATTTACACTATGCTGTTTTTCCGCGAAAACAGTGGACATACATTAATAATATTATATTAATAAAAAATTTTTTAAAAAATGAAAAATTTTTTTTACAAAAATACATTCATCAAAAAAATTTTATTTCTTCACAAAATAATGTCCTTAATATAATGTATTTACAAAAGCAAGTCAAAGCTTTTCTAATTAATTAATGTCATAGTTTTTTACATTTTTTTTTTATAATTCAGAGCAGATTTTCTATGAAAGCACTAAATGTTAAAAAAAAAAAACGAAAAAAAAAAAACAAATTTACTTTCTATAGAGTCCTCTTTTTAACGAATAAATGCTTAAAGATTTAATTTGTCAAAATTTCATGAAAATACGTAAGGAGACTTTTTAAAGATAATATCTTTTTAACAAGATTTTCTAAAAAAAAATTTTTTTTAAATAATTTCATTAATTTCTAAATATTTCCTGAAAGTTTCATTAAAATTCAACAATTATTTGATTTTTGTAAAAATTTCCAAATCAACGTGTGTTTTCTTCGGGAAAAGCGCAAAATAAAACAAACCTTTTTTCCTCTATTATTGTGCTGTCATAAAAAAAAAAATTTTTAACCAAAATTTTCTATGTGCTAGAAAGGCGTAAAAAATTTCAAAAAATAATAAAAAAAAATACATTGGTCTTTCCTCTTAACAACATGACAAACTTTGTTTTCGTTGAGTTATGGGCCTTTCTTCATCATGACATGCTGTTTTTTTACGCTACCTAGTGATGGTACCTTAAATAATGATACTTGGTCAGATTTTGGGAAGTAGGTTAGACCAAGAAATTATACACCCCCACCTGCAAAATCATACCCAAAATAAAAAAAAAAATTTTTTTTAAATTAAATTCAAGCAATAAACAGAGACACTTTAATATTTCATTCAGCAGATCTAAACTGATAAATTGTAAACATTTATCACTAATTTAGTCCACTACTTCAAATATAAATCAGTGCAACAATTTTTGTAGTGAACCCAATCAAACCAATCTAATCGTCACTTATATCACATTCTCATCTTCCATTTTATATCAATGATTCAATTTCTATCAAGTAGTTTTTGTCTTTCATTTACTTTCTATAATTGACAACAATTTATCTATCATCTGTACTTTTATATTTTTATATCATTAATAGAGAACAAATGTTACTAAAGTCTATTGACAACAAAGAGTCAAGATTTTTTAAACATTATAAGCTTATCTCAAATCAATATGAAGCCATGTTTTATGTTGAAGACAACTGTCTTTTCTTTAGAAGTTACTGCTTAAGTGCAAAGCAAAAATTAATAAAAACATGCACAAAATGGAAAACACCAATCAAATCTATTTTTCATGACCGATTTGACTTCTTTTACTTTTTGCTAGTGAACTAATAAATGTAACTTCCAGTACCTACTGGATCATTTTCCTATAAAAACTGTTTACTACTTGGATCAAACATTGAAAGTCTCATGCAATGGAACATAGTTTATCCAAACAAGATAAGTATTGTTTTATTCCATCAATCTGATTAGAAAGAAAGCCAAAGTGAATGCATGAAAAGAAAGCAGGTTGAAAAGGCACATTTTCACTCAATTGATAAAATGAGTAAAATATTATTGCTTAAAACTTGTGATATTTCATTTTACAAATTAAATCACATTATCAATCAAACAATGAAAGCAGAAAAGTAAAACCTCAAAAACAATGACAAAAAATGAATATTTCTGTACACAAAGTAAGTGAACCGAGTTTGTTGAAGATGCTAAGCTTATGCCAATGAAATTCATTGACATGGTGTTTGATCACTCTTTTTATTTCATTTTAAAATTATTTCAATAATGTTTTAAAGTGTCCAACTGATATCAAGTCAACAGAATACCTTCTCTTCACAGACATGGGAACAGCAATAAACTCCATCACTTTTAACAGATTTGTATTTATGACAAAATAAAAAAAAACGGTGTTTGGATAACATTGTCATCAGTGTGAAAAGCGAAAAAAAGCATTCAATGTTATCTCGAGTTAGCATTCGAGTTATCTCCCTTAGAATGAACAGCCAAATGACATCTACTCACGTGGAGGAAAGGAAAGATTTAGAATCTTTTCAGGTCAAACTAAGACAAAAATGCTATTTTTAATTTAACATTTCGAATTTTTTTGGTTTTTATTAACAAAAAAATCTGAGCTTTTCAGAGTTGGGAAAACGATTTGTATATATCTGAGTAGAACAGATTTTCAATCAATTTATTCTGAAGTTAGTAACTGTAAAGATGGTGACACTTTGATAAAAGAGGTGCTCTTTTGAAATGCTTAGTAAAAAAAAAAAAAAAAGACACCTTTAGTTTTGTATCAATGTCAATTTGTTTCTTTTTACCCCAATTTCAGTCATCTTAGGTTTTTCTTTCACCCCATCTGAAGTGATTGCAAAGATTTATTAAAGAATTGATAATTTCCTTTATCTTCACATGTAAAATCCCCGCAGATGAACTGATTTTGCTTTAGAAAAAAAAAAGTGTTTGTATTTGAAAGACAGCCTTGAAATTTATTCAAAGAATAATTGAAGTTGAAAAAATTTTTTTAATTAATTTTTAAAAGTTGATATCTAGAAGCTTGAAATTCTAGCAAAGACTTTTTTCTGCTTCCCCCAATGATCACTAATAGATAAGAATAATCAAAAGCTATCTTACCAGCGTCTAAGATTTTGATGAGTTCATCAGATTTCTCAACATCCACTGAACAGGAATCAACACGATTCTGAGCCATAAGTTCTAAAAAGATTTGAAGTCGCCGTTGCAGGGCAGCATGCTGCTCTTCATGACGCTTAGAACATTCCTCTGGATGGTATTTATACTTAAACCTGAACGAGATATAGAAGAGTTTTCATTACAAATCAAGCCCAACAGACAAAAAAGCAATCAATTCAAGCCAATCACAAAAGCTCTCTTGGTAGTACATTCAAATAGCATCTGAAACAACAGATTCAACTTTTTCCCTTTTTAGTAAGCCTTTTTTTTCCCTTAATGGCCATCTGAAGAGCCATTGAATTGTTTTTGTTTATTTAAACAAAAGCAACAGAATTTCAATCATATTTAGATCATGCTATGTGGATGAGAGCTTCTAGTAATGACAGATGATTATTTTTAATTAACCACCAATTTAGACTTTGTACTATTACGAAAAAAAAAAAAACGAAGAAAAGAAAATGAGAAATGCAGCTTGGAACTGAGCATTCCCATCAACGGAGCAAATATAGAAAAAAGAAAAGGTTATATGTTAAGCAACATTCTTCAGAGACAATACAGAAAAGATAAAATGAACAAAAGCTTGGAACTGAGCAACAAGATCAGTCTCAATCAGATGGGGTTTTTTTTTCTCATCTCAATTTACTTGGAATATTTTCTAAGATCATTTTTCACCATTGCCAATTAATTGAAATTCTTCAAATTCAACAGAGGGAACAACATACAAATAAAACAGGTGTAGATAAAATTCCAAAAATGTGGTCTAAACAATAATGGTCCCATCTGGAACAACTTATTTTGTTATTTTCATTGCAAGGGTAAAAAATGGAAACTTGAATGGCAAAAATAAATTGCACTCTTCCCAATAAATTGAAGCCTCCCTTGTCCTTTAATAGATCTGAGCTTAGTCAATTTACAAAAAAACACCAGGACATCAGGAGTAAGAAAGGGAAAAAAAAGCCTATTGATAATTGTCATTACATACACACATGCAAAAATCTTTGGTTGTTCAATGCAAATCACTTACAGATAAGCAGTTTTATGACTGAAGAATTGTTTTTTTTTGGAAAAAACCCAAAAGAGCTTAAGATTTAGGCTAACATGAATGAGAAACAAACCAAAATAGCGAGCAACTGAGACTTCAAAAATGAAGTGAAGTGTTTTTGTTGCAGTGTAAAGTGTAAATAAGATGTATGAAGAATTTGATAATTTTGTTGATCAAAGACGAAAACTTGCTGCAATTTTGTGGTTGACTTGGGTTCAGTTTCACATCTTTCCCTTCATTTGCTTGCTGGGTCATCTTTCTCATGCTGAACACGGCTCATTAAAAACGAGATTTCATATCTGCTTCACTGTAGGACAACCAACATTTCTTCATTTCTAAAGAAAACCTTCTTCTTCTTCTTCTTCTTCTTTTTAATCCACAAGGTTTCACCAAATGTTTCTCACTTCCAGAGATTAAATTTAAACTTTTCATGATGTATTTATTCATTGGATAACAAGTAAGGATTCACTAAGATATTTACATGAATACAAATTATTAATGATTGTAAGAATAATTGTAAATTCATTTTCAAAAGGTGGCCTTTTAAACATTTATTTTTTTTTTTTTTTTTTTTTCAAATAAAAGAAAAAAAATCTGAATGTTTGGAGTATACCCCACCCCCATCATTAATGTCTTCTTTTTTTTCTTTTTGACTTTATTTGAATTACAATAAATTTAAAAACAATGCATGTACTGTGTGTATGTGGTGTGTGTACAAGATTGTTACATATTACCTGTGTTGGAGACCAGCCAGCCAGAGAGCTGGCATCTGGCACAATGTGTATGTGCTGCCGCAGTAGCCACGACAGTAGCAGTCACCTGAGTAGTCGTCCTCAATCAAAGAAGGTGTGATTATAAAGCCTAGAAGCCTAACTACCTAAACACTTTCAACATTCTATACTGCATTGTGCGCAGTCCCCTATCTAAGTTCATGAAACAAGATGTGAGGCTGTTGTAAGCTTCCAGAAATCCGTGGATGGAGCTGTGAAGAGGGAGTAGGAGCCTTCAGGAGGAAAAGAGCAATTAGTTATAAGGAGAAGAAAAAAAAAAAAAAAAATAAAAATAATAATGATGATGATAATAATAATAGGCATATAAATAAAGATAGATATCTATCAATATTTGTGTGTAAATTATGTAACTTTTTGTAAATAAACAAGAAAAAAAATTAGGGAAATAGTAAAGAAACACAGAATGGTTGGCAGGAGGTAAGATAGTAAATATCCATTGATGTCGCTTATTACTGGTCAAAGAATAAAAACCTTTAGACAAAACAGGTTCAACTAGTATTTGATAAGAGGATTTACCAAACACTTCTCTGATGTTACCCCAGAAAATTATCCCCAGTAGCAGAATAGCTTTGCATATTTAAGGAAACATTACCAAATTTCTGTAATATTCAGTTTTTTAACTTTGGAGAAAAAAAAAAAAAAAAAAAAAAAAACCTTATTATCTTGGTAATAAATACCAACAGCATTAGATTTACTTTCAAAATGAGGAAAGCAATGCCCAACTGAGAAATATTTGTTTGGCTTTCCATTAAAATCAAATTGACAAAAGGAGGGCTCTTAATTAGCTTATCATAAGGTGCAGCTTCCTTGAGACATGTTATCTGTGAAGGACATCTCATGTCTCTTGATTGATCATTTGGGGGGGGGGTTAAGGGCTTATCAACTCTTTGTGGATTATTTAAAGCAAAAACAGATTTCAGATTGTAGGAGGTTGCTTAAAGTACCCAGTGTTCCCAAGCAGTCACCCATCTAAGTATTGACGAAGCTCAACACTGCTCAACTTTGGTGATCAAACAAGAACCAATGTTTTCGGTGTGGTGTGATTTCTCATGTCTTAAAAATTCCCTATATCCAGAATAAATATTCAATATACCCCTAAATGCATAGAACAATAATTTAATCTAAAATTGGAACAAGTCATTTTTAAAATGCAAATAATAAGCCTCTTACTAAGAACATTTTATTTTTAATTGTGCATATCTCTTGGATTTCTAGTTCTCTTATCCAGGCAGTGTTAGAAAAGGAGAGAACAAAAACCTACCAAACTCTTCCTATTACAGGAACCAAACCAACAACTGCACCAATTTTAGAAACATGCTTATTATCATTCATTTTAGGCAATTATACAGTTTCTGTAAATGTATCCCAAATATTTGATTGATTTGCATGTTCACTTAAGAGAAACCAAACTGGAATCTGTTTTGATAATTGAAGCTCAAAATTCTTTTGATATTATTTCAAGAGCTTCTCAACACCTCTCATTAATTTTCGTTTAAATAATGACGTTGTCAATAATCTTAATTTCTTTTAAATAAGGGGTAAAAAATTTAAGTAAACTCCAGTGACAGTATGTACAGAATCAAATTTGTGAACTGAAAAAAGAAAAAAAATGATATATCCAATTTGTTTCTTTTATAAACTGGCTGGACTGTAAATTCAATGTAAAACATCATCTGAAAGAAAATTCAAGTTAAATCAATTTTTACCGAATACAAAAAAATCCATGCAAATTTTTTTTTTCTTTGTTGTTACATCCTTGTCTAACACAAGACTATATTTTATAAGCTTAATAATATTTTCATTATAGTATTAAATTTACACCCTATGAACAACTGATAGTGAAGTTTAAAAGATTATCCTTAAAATTCCCAGAGACACATGCAAGTCATGTTCCCTATTGTTTGTTGTTAGATACTTTTAGTTAGACAAAGAACAAATCTTGATTTAGTTAATAAGGTTTTGTTGGAAATTTCTCAACACTCCTCAACCTCCCAAAATGTAACCAAATTTCAAAGGGTTTCTAGGTTGAAACAAGAACTTCTCAGCCCCTATTATATAAGTTAATGTCCAATTTGAGATGCTAAACCCCAGTCAGGCCAACTTTATAAGGAAATTAAGTTCTTTTGAAATCTAACAAAATGTGAATTTCCTTCTGATAAAAAATATGGTTTTTCTCTCATCAATGTATTGATCTTCCAATTTGCAATAGAAATGGCTTAGAATCTTTAGGTTAAAAATTATATATTAATAATAAATATATTAATATATTTTTTTCCAATGGTAGCACAACTCTGAGCTTCATGCACAACACAATAATCAGGTGCTGATTAAAAACCATGAAAAATCAATGTGCTCGCTCTCTCTCTCTCTCTCTCTCTATATATATATATATATATATATATATATATATATATATATATATACACTACACATATTTTAAACAATCCCTGTAAATAATATGGACTGCTCCACTATTATGAGATATATATATATACACAAACACTCTCACGGCCTAACGATTGCGTCTAGCATGAAACAGCCTGTCACCCCGAGCATTGACTTCAATGTTCACTTTTATATCCGTATTTACATACTCTCTTTCTCTAATATTGAGCACTTTATCCCATGAATATAGCACACTTTAAAACTATATTTCTTTATATATATGTGCCTGTATATTATATGTAAAAATGTATATATATATATATATATATATATATATATATATATATATACTATATAGCTCAAAATTTAAATTATGTATCAGTTTTCAATAAGCACCTGCATTGTGCATGAAACTCATAGTTGTGCTACTGATAAAGGAAAAAAAATGTATATTTATTATTAATATATAATTTATAGCTCTGTTATTTTACATTGAGCACTATTTTATTAACACCAGCACTCAATATGCGATATATATAAGATTTTCAACATACAATAAGTGTGTTTTCTGAGAAAGTTATATAAACAAAATAAGGAAAGGTGAGTATTGAAGATGTAAATATAAGTAAATTCAGATGGTGTTTGATGAAACAAAGATATACGATGAAACATCTTAAAATCATAAAACTAATAATTGTTGCTTCAAAATGTTTTCAATGAAAACGTTCGCACTTAATTAGCCAAATGCTCATCTTTCAAAAACTAAAATCCCTTATTTACTTATTCTCATTTAAATCATAAAATTAATTCCACAAATTTAATGTGTGGAAATAAAAATAAATTTTCAACATTCTGAGACAAACTAAAACAAACTTTCAAGTCCTTAATTCTCGGGTGATAATATTTAAAGAGAAAAGGTTTTTAAATCCACTTGCAAATCATCACATTTAATTTTCAGGTTCATCTGTGGAAAGTGTTTTAGGTCAGAATAGCATTTTCCAGATCTGAAAGTGGAACAATGATGATAAGGGTCTTGGAGGATTTAATGTATCAAATAACATTTAAGACATTTCAATAGAAATTATCAAAGAGAAGTTACAGAAACAAAAACCCCAAAGAAATGCGATATTAAAATCACTCACCATTCTTCCTCTTTGTGAGCAAGAAAGAATTCTGTAATCTGTCCTTTCTTGAATTCCATTTTGTATTCGTTGTATTTTTTGATAGCATCTTGGTCACTGATGCTGTCATCCTGCTGAGACAGGAACTGCTTAAATGTTAACATTGGAGGTTGGGTTGGGTAATCCAGTTCCATTCTAACCGAGAAGGAAAGAAAAGATAGGTTATAAAAAGATTAAACATTTGTCGATAGGCTAAAATCTTGCATCATTTACATTATTTGGATTGTTATCCTCATCTTCACTGCCGTATTTGCAATGTTTCAGTCACTGTATGCTTCTTCAGGTGATTGGAATTTCGAACCAAAGCCCTTATTTCATCCACCAGTGTAGATTGTTCTAGTTCTATGTGCCATGCCTCTTCCAGATGTCTCAAGCACACAGGCCAAATGGATAACGACGTTGGTTAGATCCACTGACTAGACCTAAAGAGTTGTGATTTCAATACCAGGCTACAGCAGTGGTGAACCAAAAAACTTAAAAGTTAAAAGGGAAATAACAGAAACATCTGGAAGAGGCATGGCACGTGGAACTAGAAAAATCTACCCCAGTGGACAAAATAAAGGGTTCAGTTGGAAATTTCAATCACCTGAAGAAGTCTGGAGTGTACAACAGCCAAAATGTTTTGAATATGGCACTGAAAATGAGGATAATATTCCGAATAATGAAAATAATGCAAGTAATCATAATACCTTATCTCAGAGATCTAGACAGCCTAAAATCTAGAATGTCACAAACACAAGTGAAGAAAATGTGACAAAATATCAAGATTATCCTTTTGTCCCTTTAATCCTATCAATGGTCATTCCCAATCAAATCCGTATGTTAATTATTAAGTCACCTGTTTTGGCCTGGACTATTTCCATAATGAGGCTGGTTTTGCGGAGGTAGGTTCATTTCGATTCCAGGTCCCCAGGTGGGATGAGGAGGCCCGCCACCATGAATTTGGCCAGTCCCTGCATTGTAAGGCATATCAAAACGGCCAACCCCAGCTGCTCCAACGCCACCAACTCCGGCGCCTCCACCTCCTCCAACACCACCACCCCCGCCACCTACACCACCACCGCCTCCTCCTCCTCCTGCCCCAGCTCCACTGTTGCCACCGCCACCACCACCACCGCCGCCATCATCCCTGAAAATAGATAGAAATAAAATGAACACTAATAATGAACTACTTAAAAATGACTACAAATAATACTCAGGTTTTCTCATGACTTGTGTGAATAGCTTTATTGGCATTTCCCATATACTACAATCAATATATAAATACATTATTTTATTTTTCGATATTTTAAAATGCCTGAAATATATAGGGCATCAGATGTAATGATCTGTTTGTACTGATAAGAGGGTGACAAATAGCAAGAGAAAAACAAAACAGAAAAATAAATATTGATCAATAAAATTTTTTTTTTAAACATTTAATTTATAAATGTTTTTAAAACATGAAAACAAATGATGAAACCATTTTATGATTGATTAAATTGAAATTCATATCAAACTATATATTAAATCTTTGGAAGGTGATCAAGAGAAAACAAGTTTGCCTCAATTAAATATTAAGGAGACTTTTCAATTTCATTTTGCAAGCAGCTGAGATGAGGTAAAAAGAATAAGTCTTACATGTTGTTTAATAATCACCCAAATAAAAATAACTTCAATAAAAAGCAACAAATTTGAAAGAAAAACTCATTAATGACAATTATTCATTGAAAAAAGTTGAAACTGAAGTTTTCTTAAATAGAATTTCTCTAAAAAGAATAAAATTTAAAAAATGCCAAAAGTTTGACTAAAACTATACAAAGTAAAAACTGAGTAGAAATAAAATTCTTTGTTTTATAATTGCTGTTAGCTAGCAAAAAATAGATTTCAAAAACTTTTCTTAGCTCAGTACTTTTTCTCTTTCTGAACACTGATCTTCAGACACTCTTTTAATTAGTTAATTGGCATCATAATTTAAATTTTTCTGATGTGAAATTCAGACACTTTTATTCTCTACATAAGCAGCAGACAATTGTTTTTTTAACATTTACACTCATGTGTAAAACATTTAAATAAATTTAAATTTGTTTATCAATTCTTTCTTCTTAAAGGTAAACTTGAATGAAATCAACTTGCTAACAAAAAGATGATTCAGAAGAATAACACTAAAAATACCGTAATGCCTCCCAGAATGCCAAGACCAAAGCAACACACTAATGTCTTTGTGGAAGCTGATGTTTACAGGATAGTTGTTATCCTGATTCTTTCTCCTTGGTATTTGTCTGAGTTGCAACTTATGAATTTGGCCTAGTGTTATTAGTGCTGCTGGCAATGCCTTTCTCAACAATTTAGAGAGAGTGAGAACTGAAGTTCAGGTATTGCCCATTTAATTGTAATCAATCAAAACACTGAGTCATTAACACATCCAAGAAAGGCAGTGGTTGTTCTGCTTCTTTTTCCATTATGAAATGGATGGAGCAGAGATCTTACTGAGGTCACATAATCCAGCAGTATTTACACATCTTCCTGGTGAGGCCAGAGTATGATGGAATCATCTATGTATCTAAGTCATTTAGTTGGCCTTAGTGGTGATGCCTTTTGTAGCCATCTCACAGCATTATATATATTCGCCATTACTGGAGTAAAAGGTGATCCCATAGCTAAGCGTTCTTCCTGTCAATATATTTCAGAGCCCAATTGGAAAGATGTTCACACACAGACTGTCAACATCTCTATTTACTGGGACCCTTGTGCTCTCACTTAGAAACATTGTCAGGATAACAACAATGATGAGCATGCTCGGCTGAACTGAAAAGTATAATAATCGTAATTATAAAAAGTTTCAACAAAATTTAGATAACTGTCTATATTTTCACCTGACAATTATTATACTCTATTTGCACAACTCTACACTTTCTCTTATGTCTTATGACCATTGATGGAAATGAACTTCACCTTTTCTTATAACACTCTTTAAAGCAGGCATTTAATCCTCACAATAGGTCACACACACACACAAAATTTGTCATGCCTCAAGAAATAATTAAATGTAAAAATAAAACTGATTTACTAACCAGTCTCTGCGCATTCTTTTCATCTGTGGGGGGCTCATGTCATGCCTTGGAGGACTGTAGCGGTCACGTCGCCGAGAATCATAATCACGCCCATAAGAATCTCGTTTACTGCTTTCTCGACTGCGACTACTCCAGACATCACGTGATCGAGTTGAAGCACTTCGAGCCCTGCAAAATCAGAAACAATAACAACTTTATAAGTTTGGGTAAGAAAAAATTAAACAGTTATATCATAAATTTAATAATAATAATAATAAGTAGAAAAATCTTTATAAATTTAACATGTTTCATTATTTATTTGGTGTTATGGAGTAAATAGTATACCTACCCACCGGTGACCATATGAACTAGTCCATAACTATAAATAAAGGTCAGAGGTAAGGGGAGAAGAAGCCACTGGAGTCAGTCTTCAGACTAAGTAAATACGAACATCACAGTAAGTTGGCAAAACATTACTTATATTATAAGCACTACAAAGCGTGTTATAACAGTGTTGACAAGGAATTCGAAACTCAGGCGATTTATAACCATTGTGACAAGGATTCAGGAACTCATACCAGTTGTGACTGGAGATGTAAGGATTTTGAAAACCCATAGTGAGTGAACAAGTATGGAAAAAATATATACTTGTTGCTTTGGGAACAAGGATATGGGTTACAAGAATTTTAACCACGTTGATTAAAAAAAAATTTGTTTATTCTTGTGTAAAAGAAAAAAAAAATTTTTTCTCTTAGGTGTAGAACAAAAAATTCCTGCAAATATGGAGTAAATTTTAGCTTCAATGTGTCTTATGCCAGATGGTGTCCAAAACACTGTCAGAATTTGTATACAATGCTGATCAGGGACTGACTTTTTCGGCGTATTTTCATGAATATGAATAAATATTCAGTCAGGAATGCAGCAGCAGAAAAATGAGATTGGTTTTGAGGAAAATAGCCCCAGTAGGGTATGAAAAATATTACAATGACATATTATCAAAAAAAAAAAAAAAAGCACAACAGGTTTGAAGCCACAGTACACATTCTGAAGAAAATCTTTACTGACAAGAGCTCTCTGTTTAATGCTCAGAAGTGCATGAATCTAACCAAAAAAGAGGACAAAGATTTTGTCACGTATGCTTATATTGTCAACAAAGAATGTGAAAAGTTTACAATAAAGGAAATTACTTTAGATATGTTCAAAGGGTTAATTTTCATGCAACAATTAACAGCTAAAAAAGATACTGAACTTACAAGTGAAAATTTTAACAAAAATTGAGGAGGAAAAAAAAAAAACAAAAAAAAACAGTAATATTACACTGCAAGAAATAGCGGACAATTGCCAGACAATTTCAAGTCTGAAACATAGGTACCTCCATGAAATCGCTAAAAGAAAGAACATAGCATGATGAAAAAGACACCAAATTTGACGAAAGCAAAATTTTATTGTCTAAATATTTATATTATTATTAGGAGGAAAGATCAAAGTTTATTTTAATTATTTTTAAAAATTTTTCCTTCTTTTTAGAACATTCTAAATTTTGATTAAAAAAACCTTGTTTCTCTTTGTATCACCGGAACTAGTAAAATAACAGACAATTTTTTTTTTTTTTTTTTGTGTGTGACACACATTAATTTGGAAAATCTTGCAAAAATAAAAATAATTGTCGGATGTTAATGAAACTTTTAGAAACTATTCACAGATGATCGAAATTATTATAAATAAGTTTTTGTTTTTTTTTTATTAAAGTCATGGTGGAAATATTTTTTTTGGCAAAGGGCAAATATACAAAAAGGAGAATAGATCCTTGTTTCAGATGTGGTAAATTACATCTTGGAAAAGACTGTCCATTTAAAAATGCAAAATGTTACAAGTGTGGTAAAAAGGACATATAAAGTCACACTGCAAACCAAACCAAGAAAAAATTCTCACAGGGAGAAATTCGTACACAGCATTGCGACAGAAAAAAATGGTCACATAAAACAAAAGGAAATTTGTGAATGTGAAAATGCTACTGGACACTGGTAGTAATACTTCAATAACACTGGGCAACAGAAAAACATTTTTTTTTTTAAGTTGTCTATATTTTTCAAAATGATTTAGCACAATTTTTCACTGCTGAATCCGAAAATGACATCTATTTCTCTCAATCCGGTCATGTTTTTGTGCTATGTTGATTTTTTAAAAATCTGATCTTATGACTAAATTGATTACATTTTTGTGACATTATCAATTGAATTTTGTTAATATTTCTCATACAAAATAAGATTTTAAGAGAAAAAAAAAAAAACTTGTTTTCTAACAATTTATTATTTAAATGTTACAAACATTAATTACAATAAATTGAATAGTATACATTGATGAATGTAACTACGTGTAAATTGCATGTTACGTCATCATAGTTCAAAATTCAGGGCTTGAAATTCCATTAATTCAAACCCTTTGAATGATCAGCAACAGGGGTGTCTCTCTTCAAAGTCCAGCAGTAATCAGCCATCATGTCTGCATCCCAACATCCCTGATATCTGATCTCCATCTCTTTCATATCCTGATGGAATCTCTCCCTCTGTTCATCCTCATTGATCCCAAATTCTCAGGAAACTGATCCATATGTGAGAATAAATAATGCATTTTGATGCTCATGTTGCATCCGAGGTTTCTGAAAGCAATCAGCATCTTGATGACAAGTTATGTGGAGTTTCTGGTCTTGTTGCCAAGAAAGTTCTTCACAATCAGAACAAAGGCCTTCCATGCTTCCAGTTCCACTTCACACATTGAGTTTTCAAATTCTGGATATTGGATGAGCTGATGGATTTGAGGACCATCAATGATGGTTAGCTTTCAACTTCTCCATCGTCAATCCTGTAAAAGCTTGGCACACGTAAATGAAGCAGCTACTATCCTTGTCCAGAGCTTTCTGAGAGTTTACCGTATAACACCATCAGGCATGTTGCCAGCAGAATTAATGTTTGCTAGAAAAGTAAAATTGGTGTTCGACAAGTTATTACCAAGTCGACAAACACAGATAACAAAAACGAGACTTTTCAAGGTTGACAATAAAGTGCTCCTTAGAGCATATAAGGATGGCAAAGAAACATGGCATAATATCAGCAAGAATTGGGAAGTTGATTTACATGGTAAAAGGGGAAAGATTTGAACATAAAAGGCAACATAATCAGTTGAAAAAAAAAGTTCATCAATGAAACAACCGATAAAAATGCTATGTTTTCAATGTGCCAGCACCACAACAAATCATGGAATCTACAAGGACAAGTTCCAAAAAAAAAAAAAACAAAGTATCCTGAAAAACTGGAAGTGGATCTGAGACAGAAATGCTAAAGTCAAGTACGTTGGCAAATTCTCCAGAAAGAAAAGGGAGAGATATTAATACTAATAAAAAATAAAATATTTATAAAAAGTGTTAATCTCAAAAGTGGGGATATTGTGGAGTAAATGGTATACCCTTGGTGACTAAATGAACTAGTCCATAACTATAAATAAAGTGAACTTATAATACTAGGTTATATCATTTGCAGAATATTTACATCTAACATTCTATAAGTAAATCTTTTACAAATATCTGGTGATTCCAAGAATTATTTGGTGAGCATTTATTGCATGTTGATTAAGATTCGTTTCAGGTATTTTCTCTTTAATAGCTTGTCCTCTTTTTTCTTTTTTTTGATTTTTAATAAGGTAAAATTTTTAAGTTCAAAATTTTGGTCTGTTTTATTTCTATGAGATACTAAGGAATTTAAATGGGCACTGCCAACAGAGGCTTTTTTGTGTTCATAAATATAGGTCTTTAGATTCCCTGAAGCTTCACCAATCTATTTCATATGGCATTGCAGACAGTCTATCACATATGTCTATGAGGGCAGGTTGAGTTTTCACTTAAAAAAAAAAAAAAAAAAAAAAAATGTTCAAAAATACCTAATTTCTGCAGGTTTTGTTTTTTGACTGACTTCAAGATTTTACTATTTCAAGAACAAAGTTGATATATTTCATATTAGAGACATTGAATGGAATATATTCAAACCAGAATTCTAATTATGAATCACTACAAGCAAAATTTTCATTTTTTTTTTTTTTACTACATTAGATAAATAAAAACTGTAAAAAAAAAAAAAAAAAAAAAAAAAATCATAAAAGATTACAAAAAAGGCTACTCAATGAATAAGATTTGTTAGATCATAATTAATAAAAACAAAAACCAGATGAAAGTGTATTTAACACCATAATACTGCTGGGAACAAATTAAAAGACAATGTTTTAAATTTGCATTGTTTATTAAAAATCACAGTAAAAACACTATACTATATAACATCATAATATAGCTAAATTGTTCAGTATAATTTCCCTTTGAAGTAAATGACGGTCTTATTTGTTGACACAATGATTTAATAATAATGTGCTTGTGCCATGCATCTTGTCCATATACAATTTGTAAAGCTTAAGTAAATTATAAATTTAAAGACTGTACTATAAGGCCTTTCACTGATCACTGGAATGAAATTCTAACACTACGATTTGAACCTAAACGTTATCTTTAAAATAGATTCCTCAAAAAATGGCAAGGATTTAGAAAAAAACATTTTGTGTTATTATTTATCATGTCAAATCCCAACTTTCAAACTGTCTACCACCATCTACCTTCTCAGTCCAGAAACCACAACTTTCAAATTGAATGCTATACCACAGTCCCAAAATCAAACTGCCCTAATGTATATCTGTATTTCTGACACATTGTTGTCTACAGATTTTTGCTTGGATTGTTTTGGAATTAGGATTTTTTTCTGTTTTTTTTTTTTTTCAGGAAATAAAATATATTTCTACCAGCAAATTCTTTGTCTACTCAACTCAAGAAACTCATTTAACTATTCTGAACATTAAAATTATAAAACCTAGTCCATTAAAGAGTAATGGCTCTTGGTCTGAACATTGAAATAGGAAACTGACATTACCCACACAAACATATCTGATAAAATGACATATGAAAAAAATATCTAAGTATATAAAATAGAATTTGTGAAAACCAGTTGAATGTTTCCATTTTGCTCTGAAAAACATCAAAACAGAATTTTTTTTTTTTTTTCATTTCACCCCAAACAAAGTAATACAGTCACTAAGACACAAGGGGTTACTGAGAGAGAATATGAAGAAAAAAAAATACTATTAAGGAGAGAGAAAACTAAAAGAACAAGAATTAAGACAGAAGATAACAATTGACATTGTATTTAAATTTTTGAAGATCAAAGTTGACTGGGAAGCAAGAGAGTTCCAGAAGTGAGAATGTGAGAGAAGAAAATGTTAGCATAGAACTTACGGTTACATCTAGCTATTTCAACTGTGAATTGACAAAACCTTGCCACCAATCTAGTACTACACTTAAACTCAAACAAAAACACCTACAAACAATTACCATGAAAGTATTTATAGAAAAAGGCACAAGGAAGCTAGGTTACAGCAGTGGAAAAGGGACTGAAGAGGAGATGACAGGTCAGGATCAATAACATTGCAGATTATTCTTTGGAGTTTATCAAGAATCTTTAAATATATAGCAGGAACACCAGACCATATGCAGCAGCAATATTCGAAGCATGGACAAATGGTAGACTTATAAATATGTAAGATAGATTCTGGTGAAAAAAATTGTCTAGCACAAAAGTGAAATGTAAGATGAACATCATTACCTTGGCAATCTTGCTATTTAGAAAGGTTGTGGTTAATTTGAAAACTTTTAACATCTGATAAAATTTATGAATAAAAAAGCAAATCAATGAGATTTGCACAAATGAAAATGTTAAAATGCAAAGATGGTAAATTTGATATATTAAAAATATATAAAATACAAGACATTATTTATATTAGACTTGGATTCAAATAAAAGACAATATAAGAAATGATTTACCCTAACATGGATGTTAAGATTCATCTTAAAAGACTTTTACAGTATAATGCCATAGGCCCTTGAACATTTCATGCACACATCTCAAGTGATTGTCGGGCTATGAATTTAAATGGACACTGGAAAATCAGTTTATTTCTAAGATTTTGCTAAATAAGTTCAATTACCTGTCATGATCCCAAGAATCTCTTCGCCGTTCATCTCTGCGGTCATAATCATTCCTCTCTCGTCGAAATTTATCTCTGCCACGTCGTCTATCATATTCATCATCACTGTCAGCCATGATGCAAAAATTCTTGAAATAAAGAAGCACAGAACCTACAGGATTCCAACAAAAAAGAATCTTACATTCACATGAATATTTAAAACTAGTCATTCATTTTAGCCAAAGAAATTCTCAGACTTTCAAAAAGTTAAAAGGTAGTATATAAAGCAATTTAACAAATCATCTCTAATCACTTACTACCCAAGCTCCAGACTAACACCATTGGTCCCAGACACTTCAAAGTTCTTAAAGATTTACAGTAAAATTTTTCTTGCTTTGTTTATTAATGCCAAATTAGTTATTCCAATTAGATCCTAATGTTTCTCACATTTAAAAGATAAATAATACAAATGTCTAAACTTAGGTCCTTCAAGTTTCATTTACCATTTTAAAAGTGCTTGCTTTGTTTATTTGTGCATATGCATGTCATTGGTGAGAAGCAAAGATTTTCCTTTCTATTTTGAGAAATTGGTTGCTTTCAGAATAAACAGAACAGAATCTTAATTAAATCTTTTATTGTCTCAGCCCCATCCCTGGGACGATGGTATGGCATTAATCCCAAGCTCTGCTCCCTGGAATGGATGTATAGCTAGTGCAACAGATACTGGCAGGGAGAGTGAACTTGATATACCAAGTTCAAATTCTGCAAGTTTTGGAAAGGGGATTTTCTTCCAGGTATGGGTTAAATAGTAGGGCACACTGGGTGCTTTAGCTTTGATAGGGTAAACATTCAATGGGCAGGGTTGTCTTGCCTTACCAAATCAGCCTGAAGAGGGGTGGATTCTATCAAGCTATCTTGCTCTAGACACCCACTGCAGTTGTTATGATCTGTGACAAAACTATATTAGACAAGGATGCTTTCCAATCTATGAATTCTCTTCTCAAGCACTTGTTAAGCAGAATTTGCATAAAACTAATTTTACTTTGTATGGATAACATTTCAGTTAAATAACATCAAAGAATAAAATTAAATAAAAGGGGGCAATTTACAAAATTTCAATAATTTTGAACAATTATGAATGGAAAAAACATTTTTAAATTTCCAAAAGACAAATTCAAATGAAAATCAATTATAAACTTTCATCTTCTTATGTAACAGTAAAACCATTTTGTGGCGCTTTTAAATTCTAGAAAATTTTATTAAATTAAGGGGGAGGGGTAGATGCTAAAAAAAACCATTTTTATCAAGATTTTCTCAAAATAATATATTCAAAAATAAATTCATTCATTTGTGAATAAGTCCTAAAAGTTTTATTAAAATCCGACAATTATTTGATTTTTGCGAGAATTTCCATATTAATTTGTTTTTCAACTGAAAAAAGCGCTATGTCACGTTAGCGCTGACGTAAAAATAAAATAAAATAAACTTTTAACCAAAATTTCGAACGTGCTAGAAAGGATTAAAAAAAATTTTTAAATAATTTAAAAATACTTTGGTCTTTCCTCTTCATAAACATTTTGGCAATAAAATTTTGTTTTTATTAAGTTTGGGGCCTTTTGATATCTAATGCTGTTTTTCAGCCAATTAGTGGAGATACCTAAATGATATGAAAGAAACATTTTGTGGCAATTTAATTTTTTTATATTCACCATATTACTAAATTTTATACTTTTAAAGGTAAAAATAGTAAAAAGACTACAAATGCTTACAATCAGTGACTATCACCCCCTCCCCTAGTTTAATTACATTTAGAACAAAATTGTAATTTTTGTTTAACTTTTCTATTTATAACTAAAGATTTTATGAGACGTGATTAAAATAAAAGGAAAGAGTAAAAGTATTTCAGATTTTAAAAACGTGCAAAAAAGAAAAAAAAATTATATTTTTTTTAGGCATCGGCGCCATCTTGGAAAGAACAAAAATAAATTTAATTTCTATTTTTACTGTTTTGCCAAAAATTTGGATTTTTCAAAGGAAGATTCAGGAATTATTTTATTTAAAGTTTTAACTAAATTAAAAAAAAAAAAAAACATCGGATCAGTTTGATAAAGATGAAGAAAATATCTTTTTTCACTAAATTAAAAAAATATATTTTGAAAATTGAACTTTTTTTTCAATAAAAAAATAAAAGTAATAAAATAGAGAAAATAAAAATAAATGAAATTCATGCATTTTGTTAAGGAAATAAATTTAAAAAATATAAAAAAAATTAATGAGACAAAAAATAATTTAAAAAATGGTTCCTTTTTTTTAGACAGTATTTTATTTAATAGTTGCTTAAATTTTGTAACAATTTGAATTACGTATTGTATTTTAAAATAGTATTCGTCATAATTATTAATAACTTATTTTTTTAAATTATGTATATATATTTAGGTTAAGTCAAATTCATTTTTTTTTAATCTGATTTTTTTTAGGTGACAAAAGTTTTTAATTTTTACACAAGCAAAACGTTACGCAATTGAAAAACAAAGACGGAATTACGTCGACTTAATTTTATTTTTCATTAATTTTATTTTTTAAAATTATAATTTTATTCATCTTTACTGGTTGGTATTTACTATTTATTATCATTAGAATTACTTTTCTTATGCAATACCAATATTTATGCGATTTTCTAAACTTTAAAGTAAATTGAAAACGAAAGTATTCGGATTCAAGAATGGATTTATTTATTTCTTCAACAAAACTGGATTTTATTTTAGACATTTATTTCATCAGAACAAATTACGTGTAAAAATGAAGATCTATTTTGCTTTTTAAGTCTATTTTATTTTTATTCCTATTATTAGAATAAATAAGAAAATCCATTAAGATTCGTCACTAATAAATTTCAACAACTATATGAAGGTAAAAATTGCTACGCCGACAAATAAAAACGTTAAACAACGTTTAAAATCATTTTTAATTTTTAAAAAATTGCAAATATTTTTATTAAATATTTTACATCCCTTTTTTGAAAAAATATTTAACATGTTACTTTAAATCTTCTTTTTTTTTTAATACTGATTTACAACAGTTTGTCGGCATTAAAATGCAGATCATCTAAGAAAAGACAAAATAATAAATAAAATAAAGATCAGACCATTCAGTGATAAATATCTTCCTTCATAATAATAATTTAAAATATTAAATAAATTTAGGAGGGAGGAAAAATAAAACGTTACTCACTTCCACGGGAAAATTTGCTTAATGACTTTCGTTTAACGTTTCGCTTTTTCGGGGAAAAAAACGAAAACCGGAAAAAAAGTAAAATTCCGGAAATGAAGAAAGTCACATAAAAATTTAGAAACGATTTTGATGAAACGAAATCGAAATGTGGATTATATACTGTACTTTTTATGTATGACATCTATACTAGTATAATTTAATTAATAATTTTTAAAAAAGTGAATTCTGTCCGTCATGCACTGTCTGCCTGTAACTTTGTTTGCGCGTATGAGTATGTCTGAGCTTTACTTTTGTATGTGTAACTTAAATGTGCTTGCGCCCTTTTACACTCACGCGTACATACAAGAGCCGATTTTTTTTTAACTGAGTTTGAATAAAAATATTCCTTCCCGCTCAGTTTCTGAAAACCCTGGGCAGAGCAATAAAATCATAAATTTGGAGACAAAAAACAATTTATCAACAACTTAATCGTTTCATCAAACCGTCTCATTGCTGACGGATTGCTGTGAAATAAAAAAATAATCAGTTTTTCTTTCTTTTTTTAGTGAGAGAACTTTAAATAAAGTAGTACTGTATCGATAATTAATTTTATTTAGTTTTTTCATGTCAATTTATTTTCTATCTATCTATATCAATTTATACTTAGCAATATCAATAACAATATCAGTCTGTCTTTATTCGTAGAAGAACGCAAACACAACTTGAATGAAATTGAAATGAACATCTGTGTCTGAGACAAACTTTCCTTTTTTATGTCTCGCAACAACTCTATAAATATTTAATTTTACAAAAAGGCAATATAAAAAATTAATTTAATGACCAATTTTTTTGTGCAAAATAAAAGAATTTAATTTTTTTTCTGAGAGGGAATGGGAAAAGGAGAACGTCCACTTTCTCATGAAGAAAATAAAACAGGCGCAAACAGTACCAAACACCCAAAACGACCCTGTGAAATTTGAACGTTAAAATATTTATTAAACTGATACAAAACAATAGAACAAAACATATAGGATTCCAAATTTTACATAATGATCTTTAAAATAATAGTAGTAACAGCCGTAAATAAACCTTGTATCAGCAGCAACTCGAACATAAAAAAAAACATGTAAACTAACTCTCTTCTCCAGGTTTTCCTCTTTCAAACTGTGTGACGTGAAATTTCCACACTGAAGCTAAGAGGGCTGTGAACACTTCCACACACCAACACAGTAAGTTCCACTCAAACATAGTCATGAACATTTCATTGTGTATGCAATTTACTTTTAACAAAAGAAAATCTTATTTTAAACTTTACTTTTGTTAATTTTGATTTAAATGTTATTTTGCATTGCAAATCAATTAGGTTGTGTAACATTTTATAGTACATGAAATGATGGTGGTGTAAGGTTTCTTACAGTAACATTATATAGTACATGAAATGATGTTGGTGAAAAAGAGTACATGAACATCGTGTATTCTTACACATTTACACGAGTACATGAACATCGTGTATTCTTACACATTTACACGAGTACATGAACATCGTGTATTCTTACACATTTAATCATTGAAGTAGCTAGTTACTAAATAGGATTTACACATTTTTATATAGCAATAGTACAAATAATGAGGAGTAACGATCTTTTGGAATTTCTTTGTTTTTAAAGTTTCCTTTTTGTGGTTGGCCTAAAGTCTCATTCTGCTACATATTCTGTTAATTAGAATCTTAATTTTGTTATATGGTCCTTCAAGATGATTGTTCAATGGAGTTTCCATTCATTCACATCCAGTTTCTTTAACTGCAATAGGAAGACTGAACTGCTGAGATCCTCCAGTATTTCACCACTGTCATATATTTTTATCACTTATTTTCTATATTGCTTGAGGCTGTCAATATCTCTATTATAATCTCACCTGGTCCTATTATTTTGTTCTTTTTTATTTTGACTGACCTAACCCTAAAAACATTCTCTTTTTAAAATAAATTTTGATTTTTTTTATTGATTTTGTATCATAAAAAGCCTAACTCTTCTGTTTTAAAAAAGAAAATCAGTTTTTTTTATTTATTACAATGTAGAATAAAATCTTTTTAAGTCAATGTTTACTCTTATCACCAAAATTATTTGAATCAATACAAAAGTTGCATTATGTTGTAATGAAATTCATTAATTGAGGCTTCCAAAATGAATATTTTAAAAGTATATATAAATATATACAGAACAAACAGCAAAAAAAGGAAACCACAAAAAAGAAGTAACTGGTTATCACTCCTCACTCTTCAGAGCCCAATTGAGGACAAAAAAATGTATAAATATGTACACACCATTAAAAAAAAGTTCATGTGCACATATCAAGTACAGTACTCAGCACCTTATTCAGAGGTTGGAAAAATATAATAAAAAATGAAACAGACAGACCTTGTCAGTTCTTTTTGACATTTGAAATGAAACATAAAAAGGTTATTTTCTAGAGGAAAAGTAGAAGCAGAACGTCATTTAAAATAACATTTATATATTCTTTTCAGAAATATATAATAACAACAAAATGTTCAATTTCCCTTGCAGTGAAGTTTATTTTATCAAATAAATGTTTGTATTGCAGTATGAGATGTGTGGACAGACTTACTTTATGATGGTCAGCCTAATATGTTTGTGTGTTCATAAACAAGGCCTTAGTTGGTGGCTACTGGCTGTCCTCTTCAATTGTTTGCATGTATGTATGCACATGTAGATCAAACTGACTTCAAAGATTCTTTTGAACCTTGAGAAGCAGTAAGTTTCTATTTTTATTGCTATAAAAGGGAGCCAAAATCTAATTTCACATAGAGGTATGAACCTTTCTGAGTTGGTTAGAAAATAATTTCATGTTGGCCCGCAAAAATCTTTTTCTTGAATTTGTATGATGAAGGGAGTTACTATTGCTATTTTCTAAATGGTTCAAAAATAACACATGGTCTACAACTACCTCTGCCAAGTATTTTGGTGGTATTTGCCCTAGTCATTATTATTTATCGAACAAAGCTTCTGATGAGATTTTATTGGTTTGAAAATATAATTACAGAACAGCCATTTTGGCCACAATGTTGTACAGCTCAGAATCATAGATCCTATATAGGTCCCATATCAATCAGCTGGATGTCTTCCACAAAAGTTGGCTCCATGTGATCTGTGGCTATACTTTTGAGGATAGGGTGCCCAATGGTGATCTTTTCACAAAAAAGACCTTAGTGACTACAGAATACCTAAGGTCTTCATGTATAGCCAGCTTCACAGTGGACAAAGGACTATGGAACAGATATAAAGACAAGCTAAAGAGTAACCTCTCAGCTGTCAATGTATATATATATATCAATATCAGGAATCAATAGATTTTATTTATAATACAATATTTTTTATTACTAGAAATATTATATTTAGTGGATACATATGTATGTTTGAATAGACATCTCTGTTTTTTAAACAGAGTAATTGATGTCTGTTGGGATGTACGGTGAATTTCAGCTTGGATTTAGGAATCGTAGAGGTGAGTTCAAATTTCAGTCAATTTCATTACATTCACTTATGTGTTAATACCCTTCGGAAATGTATAAGTGCAACTGTTTCCACCCCCTAGCTATAGATAAATAGCAGGACAGACTGGGTTCTATAGCCTTGGGTGGCAATCAGTCTAGGAAAAGGAAAACTCTGAAAATTAAGGAATAAAAATTAAATATAAAAAAATATAAATTTTCACCAAAATGTAGACAAATGGTAGTTCAGTTGTGGTTTAAATCTGTAAGTGATTTGGAATAGTACAAAGAGAGAGAGAGAGAGAGAGAGAGAGCTCTCATTCATTTAACCTTTTACTCAAATATCAAGTGTCCAAAATTAACAATGTTTTTAATATAATATAATTGGACAACAAAATGCAAAATATCTTATCAATATTTACTGCTAAGACCCTTGTTTTTAAATCCCTGCTGCACATCGGCGGCCACAGGATTTCATTAAATTTTGACGTTGGGCAACTTTAATTTTAGTCCATTCTTCCTGTAATTTTCCCCATAGATCTTTGACATTTGATGGATCCTAGCCATGACATTTTGCCCTAAAGTCTTTTATAAGTTTTCTATGGGAGTCATGTCAGGATTTTGAGCTGCCCAATCCATAACATTTATTCCTACAGGCAGGAAATTTAGAGCCTTCCTCTTTTCAGCCGGCCTCTTGCAAAAAGAGGAGGTGGAATTGAGCAGCTCCAGTCAACTTACCCAAATATCACTTTCTCTTATTAAATATAGCCTTTACTGATTGACTTATATCTTCCAGAAACTCTATTCATTCACCCAAACACAAACCAGTTTACTAACAACCAGATTGCAAAAACTTTCTGACTCCACCAAACTTGTACAACAAATCCTTCTGATTATTTAGTCTCACTTTGTATTGTGATGAATATATGTTGTATTTTACTAACAAAAACAAGATTCAAGCAAGGCCCACCATAACAAAGAATTATGATTATTATATGATGCAAATCTTAGTTTCTAGGTGAGAGATCACAAGGTTCCCAGTAGATAACCTGACAGAGATGATGATATTCTGTGTTCAAACAACATACTTCCAAATGCTCAAATATTACACAGATCCTTGGAAGAGGTTCTGGATTGATATGTTAATCTATACATACATAATATCACCATTTTTATGGGTACTATGCAAACATTTTCTAGAAAACTTGAATAAAAAACATACAAAATATTTTTTGTCATATTGAATTAAACATGCATAAAATAAGGCTTGATGCTTAAATATAAAATTAGCATATAAATAAATCAATGAAATCACTAAACTAAAAAAATTAATACTGCAAATTAAAACAAAAAAAAAACAAATAAAATATTGAATTTGACTCTCAACAGATGTTCCATACTTGTGTCTTTGTGTCTACACTAAGAAATAACCATAATTCAATAATGATCCAAGATGCTTTGTTATAAGCAATCCTGAGTTACCTCCCTTCGTTGCCTGCTGAGTCTGTTGAGATGTCTCTAGTTATAAGGAATCTTAGAAATGGGAACAATGTGAACAAAAGCCAAGATTTCTTCAGATCAGCTGTTAGTAAACTGACAGTTACACATTGTGTGTGTGTGTGTGTGTGTGTGTGTGCACACATACTTTTTCTTTTTTTCCACCCTATCATTCTTTTTAAACATAAAATTGCAGAGACACTCTTGGGGATTGCCTGTTGGGTGATGGAGTAACGCCCTAAGTCTAATTCCAGTCTAAGCTTAGGTGTCTAGGTTCAACCAAATCCATTTCCACAGGTGTATCCCCACCTTTTGTTGCAAATTTTTATTCAGTTTTTCAATTAAAATCTCTTCCTTTGTTACTACAGAAAATTAATTTCACTTTTTTAAATAGCTTGAATTTACTTTCCTTATATAAAATATAGTTTTAAAAATGCTTGAACATCAAAAAAATATACATGGATATAACATTCTAATGTTTTTAAGGTTATTTTTTTTTTAAATTTCAATGAAACTCTACAGAAAAATGAGATGAGCATTTAGGAAATAAAATGAACTTCACTCAGAATTTCTGAGAAAGTTCTAGGAGTATATTTGCAAGATATGAAGAATCATTTCATGCCTTCAAAAAACAAATTTTCTATTTATTAGGCAATAATCTTGATGAAAGAAATTACTGTTAGTTTTCAAGAACTTCATAAAAATTGTCCCCTCGGACTTGCATCCCTTTTCAAATTGATATAATTTATTATCCATGCATTTTTATTTGATTGTGAATAAATATGACATGTGAATTTAAAATTTCAGCAACAGATTTCATTTATTGACATAGCATTGAATAAGGAAATAAAAAAACATGATTGTGATGAAACCTGGACTGAAATTGAAAAAGCTATTGAAAAGGTTGTCAATTTTATGGAAAGAAAGCCAGCATTCAGCTATGACGATTGCAATAATGCACACAGAATTAAAAAATATCTTTAATTTAAAAAATTTCAAGAACAAAAGCAAAACAAAATGCAGAAAAAGTTGAGAATGACATTAGAAGAGAAAGAATCATCATGAAACAGCAATTAAAAAATCCTTTTTACATTATTTGTTTTGCATACATGACATATTTAATTTAATGAATTTTCATTAACATTACATAATTTATCCTTTTTCCTTAAAATCAATTTCATTATATTTCACTCACCATTAGCTTATTTTGTTTACTATAAAACATTGTAAATAAATGTTAAACTTGATTTCAGTTCTTTTATTTTAATCTAAATATAACCAAATATATCTGGACTTTGTAACCAATTCCTCATATTCGGAAGGCCTTCTTAGTCCGGTTGTCAGGGATTCTACTGTATTATTATTATCTGTGTAGAGTAATTGTCCATAGTTAAATGCAATTGGCAAAACTGTCCAACAAACAGAATTAAGTTTGCAATAAACAATAACAAGAAAAAGAAAAGAACAGGGCAAAAATCATATTAAACAAGCAAACAATATATGCAAGGCGAAGCAACAGTAATAAGGCAAAAAGTTCACAAACTAAAAATGGTGTTGTAGGGATACAAACAGCAATTGTCTCCCTTTCATTGAGATAGTCATGAGGATCATGAGATGGCCAGTGAATGACATCAGGTGATAGAGTTATAAAGAGCAGTTGCAATGTAGAGAAGAAGAAGGACCTTAGCTCACAGCAGTAGGTTTTACAGAAAAAATCCACATGCCCTAACCAGGCTCATTGAGAAACTGCTGTAACTCAAGTTTTCCCTTCAGGAAATATTACAAGTAAGGTTCCCCTCTTTTTACACACCATTATAAATTTCTCTAATTTCTCTGCATGGGACACGTGTATATATCTATGTGTATGATGTAGCAATATAAAACTCTGAGAACAAAGCATGATTGTCATTCATTTTCCTTTTAGCCATTTCATTCCAGTCATGATATTATGGTGTTATTATATTACGGATATAATAATGCTGATAACAGGTGAAATACAAATGGGAGAATAAATCATTCTTCCCTCACTCTCTCTCCCAACAGGAGATACAATCAAGTAACCACAGTGTTCTTGCTTCAAGACAAAAAAGAACAGAACTAAGTTGGACGAGACTGAGAAATGGCCTAATCTTATTGGTTAAGAAAAAAACCCAGCATGCATTTGTGCAGTTTTGCCTATAAATTAGGGAGGAGTAAGTATTTTGAAGACATTCCTATTTCTAATTATGTTGTGGTAAACCCTCCTACAGTAGAATGAACTCTTCCTCCTCTCATAAATACTAACTGTGAGACTTCCTAGGGGAAAGTCGTAGGGTATTGGAGATGCAGTTTTAACCTACTGTTTGGACATATACTTCTAACTGCTTATTATTAACACACTTGCTTTGTATATATCTGTTATTGCAATACACTTGTTCAACCAACCTTCGTCTTCTGTGTTTTTCTTTCTGGCCTCTAAACATGCCACAACAGATTAGAACCAGCAATCTGTCATCTTAATTTTTACTTATTTTTTATGACAACTTTAAAATCAAAATAAAACTTCTACATAGTTGTATCATTATTCCTTTTGATGACTATTAATTACAATTTTAATTGTTTGGCTTTCTTCATTTAGAAAATTTGCCCAACATAATCTTTCTACTACAATTTTCTTCTATCTGGCTGTGTATAAAAGACCATCACTTAACTTATATTTACTTTACTCATTGACAAATTTATACACATTGATGGACTAGCCAGGGTGTCAGTTAACCTGAAGTCAAGTGGGCTCCTGATGGTGTGGACTCTCGACATCAAATAAAAATGCAATAAAGAAACAAGCACAAACAATTTTTTTAGTTGTAGGGATGCAAAAGTCAATTATCTGCCTTTGTTTGAGATGGAGTCACATGACGGTTGCTTAGTGATGTCACTTTGTAGAGTGATGAAATTGGTCAGTCCACCAGTTAGCTTCCAGGTGTCAAACCGAGCATTTGCTTTTTTAGTACAGGCCAAGTGTAAATAACCCCACCTTGGCAAACTAGCAAAGGGTCAGCTCACAAGCTCATATCATTGTTTTTATTTGGGATTATATCCTTACCAGATATTGAAACTATTTCCATCTCACAGTTCTCATGTTGGGAAATACCCATGACTTGCTGTTTTTTTTATGTGAGAAATATATCCTCACTAGAGGATAAGTCTGGCTCATTTGAATTCCCCATTGGGAAATAAAAATATGGTTTCTCCAGAAACACAAAAGAATCCTCCAGCAGCTCAATTGGGAATTATTACAAGTAAGACTATGTTTCTTCTCCATTTTTGCACTTCTTGTTGTATACATGTGTTATAGCTTCTCTGTGTGGGACAAGTATAAATGGTTGTATATAATTTTGTATATGACTTAGCAGTATAAAAATCTCTGAGAATAAAGCATGTTTGTCATTCCTTTTCTTTCAGCTATTCCATTCCACCCATGTATTTTGTTATTGTATCAGGAAAAAGCAAACTTGGAATAACCCTTTCTTATATAGCACTCCCATTATAGTAATAAAAAGGAATAAGAACTTTATAAAATCATCTGCTCACTAATGGTGACAGGACATTTTCAAAGCTAAAGATCATAATAAAATGGTTAAGAAATTCACTGAGGAGAATTTGGAATCATGTTGCTATTCATTGAAAAGGAACTGTCAGATGAATGCAGAAGCAATTATTGGCAGATTCGAACAATTGTGAATACAAACAATTGCACTTGTTTGTATTCAAATTTGAATACAAACAATTTGCACTTATATGCAGTCTAATGCAATTGCAGTAGACTGCATGTAATGAATGCTCTATTGGGCTTTCAAACGATCTGTTAATGGGTAAATTGTGCAATAAACTATTTAAAAAAATTCAATTATAACATCCATATTTACATATGGTATCTACTACCAGCGATATCTACAGTACATGTACACATACGTAAGTAATAAAGGACACTTATTACAAAAAGCACTATCATTAAATAGATTTTACAAGAACATAATTGTATTGTATGCATACAATGAAAGACTTGTCAAAGATTAAACATAGATTAAATTGCATAGGAAAGAATTTAGAAAACATTTATAAAAACAAAATAGCCAGAAATATTGTTGCATGAATTTAGAAGCAACATTAACCAATCCTGAATTTTTTAAAACATACATTAAAATTGAACATATTTTTATGGATTTGATGTGCTTCAAGAAATAAATTAATGGCACTTTCTGTGTTATAGACCGGGGGTTGGCAACCTTTTGCTATGTGTGTGTTTATTTTTTATATACATTTTAAGGACTTCCTCATTATCTGAGAAGGATAATTCATAATTTGGAAAAGTTAATCAATACATTGATACAAAATTGATACAAAATGTCTGTTGTCTTTAATAACATTTACCTTCCATAGAGAGAGTGAGAGATAGATAGATAGATAGATAGATAGATATGAACAGACAGAGATCAATCGATAGATAGATTAATAGATATGAGCAGACTGAGATAGATAGAATGATAGATAGTAGCACTTCAGACTTGTTATGATAACCACATTGAAGTAGGAAAGAAAAGAAATAGAAACAGGAAAATCATTTGGTACACCCCCCCGCCCCGCCCCCCAATTCAACCAGTTGGTCAGTATTAAGTTAGGTCAGAAGTTTCTCCATTTAATTGATAAACATTTCCCTGAAAGTAATCCTCTTAGTAAAATATTTAACAGAAACACATTAAAACTAAGTTATAGCTGCACCGATAATCTTCAGAAGATTATAAAGCAACATAATAAAATTTTAAACCAATTTATTAATCTGGATCATAATGCATGTTCCAAGATAAATATTATTTATGATACTAGCCAATGTAATTGTAGGAATTCTAACCAATGCCCATTACCAAACAAATGTTTAACTAAATCTTTTCTTTATCTAAGTACTATCTCTACAATAGAAAATCTGACGGTTGAAAAATTCTATATTGGTGGTACTAAGAATTCTTTTAAGATCGGCTTATCTTGGAAATAACTGATAACTAACATCCATTAAACATGGCACGTGAAGCTAGAACAGTCTACCCCAGTGAGTGAAATGAAGGGTTCAGTTCAACATTTCAACCATCTGAACGTACAACGGCTGAAACGTTGTAAATATAGTGACAATAGATGAGAACAATAGTCCGAATAATGTAAATAGTGTACAAAATTAGAAATTTATGGAAAAGTACAAACATTTTCATACAAATACTCTTGGAGAAAGTATTAATCTATCCCTTCTCTCCCCAGCTATAGGCTAAATAGCAGGACAGACTGAACTCTCTAGATGTGATTTTCAACTAGTACAGGAGAAGGAAAAATCTGAATTCAAAACCCTGATAAGGCACATATTTTAACTGTAACTAAGGTCCAGTTGGTAAAGTCACAGTATAAACTACAGGTTGGCTCTCTAAGTGTTGAAGAAACACAACTGGATCTGAGCAGATGGGCATGCTTGGGCAGCTATGATGAAAATGAGAAATCACACTGATAACCCGCTGTGCCTTAAAGTTGAAGCTGCCCTGATCATGAATCTAAAGCTGTAGATTGATTTGTTCTTATAACTTTGAGATAATTCCAAAGTAATTATCTAAAATGATCAGAGTTTGTGGAAGTAGAATAATTCAGGTAAAATTATTTTATAGGAAAAAAAAAAACCCAAACTTTTTTCTCTTTGACACAACTGATTAGAACAATTTGAAAGAACTGCAAACTTAGAAAACATTTTAAAAACATTTCAGCACAGAATATTAAAGTAACAAAAACTCATTCAATATTTTCTTCTCATTGTAACATAAATGAGGTTCATAGAAAATAAAAAAGAAGGGCAAGTAATTCCAGCATTGTTTGGTTAGTGATAGCCATCATGTATATTAAAATAGACATAAAGCAAGTAAAAAAAAAAGAAGAGAAAGTAACTCTGATATTGTTATGGTGAAGATAACCATCTATCATACATATCAAAATAAATTTATAGTCAGAAAAAAGGACAAATAAATCTGATATTGTTATAGTGTTGATAATCATCTATCCATCGAAAATGTATTAAAATAACATGTTTTTCTTTTCATTAGGAATTGAGGAGGAGATCTCAATATGCCTGTTGTACCCCTGGGGGGTGAAAAATCATGCATATACCAGATTTCAATTCAATCCATTCAACCATATGAGTATCATAATGATTTTCACTGAATGCTCCATATTTGTGGCCATATGCCATATTAAGCTAAGACTAACAAATACCTATTGGATACCTCAGAGTGGTGCCAGAGTGAGCCAGTTTAATAGACAGTTACTATAGAAGTAAATGCTATTCTCATTTGGGTGCCTCACTTTGGGCCTTGTACCACACCAAGCTAAGCTTAGTAAATATTTATCAAACATTAAAATTATAAAAGCAGGGAAAAATATATGAAATCATAAGAAGGAATGTACAAGAGTTTTATATAAAGTAGCATGACAGGTGTTTTATAAACATATGACCATCCTGATTAGATGGACATTAAAACAATTTCTCATTGTATTAAAAGTAACTTTGTCTTTCATCTGCATGATTCACAATGACGATGCAGTAAAAAGAATTATCAAACATTTTTATGAAAGCGTTCATTAATCTTTCAAGAAGTTTCATGTTTTATGTATATATCTAGAGGAATGTTTTATTTTACAAATATGGCCACAGTATGTTAATTGTATAAAAACATTCTTCTAGATATATGCATAAAGAATGCCATACATTCAGTTAAAAGTAAAAATGATCGTTGATAATGGCTAAAAGTATAGCCCGAAAGCCTTCAAACATACAGAACATTTGAACAATTTCCACATGATTTACATCCAGAAAAGAATAAAATTATAAGAACACAAGAAAAATTAAATAAAAAACTTAACTGCAGTACCTTGTCAGTCATTTTTAAAGAAACTAGTACAAAATTTGATGAGCAAATACACACACACACACATATATATATACACACACAAACAAACAGGTTTGGTTAAATAAATTAGACTTACTATGTCTGTTTATTTTCGTTTTAATGCTTTTGAGTCTATGAATCAATTTCTTGGTAGCTGTAGAAAACTGATGAAGAAAAATACCAAAATTTCATATTCCCTCAATTAAACATAAGGAACAAATGAAGTGTTCCTTTTGCTTACATAGGTTGGGCTGATGAAATTTAATATACACAGCCTCAAGAACTTATATATATATATATATATATATATATATATATATATATATATATATATAATAGGTTCTTGAGGCTGTGTATATTACATACAATGTATGTCCAACTGATGGTGTTGCTATGGGAAGTCCTTTGGGCCCTATTTTATCCAATATTTTCGTAGGCTATGAGCGACAGTTGTTCGACAAGGTCCATAAACCCTGTTTTTACATGAAGTATGCTGATGACACTTTCTCAATTTTTGATTCCAAAAGTGATGCTATTAATTTCTTGGTGGAACTTAATTCTTTTCATCCATCCCTTCAATTTACTATGGAGGTAGAGTGATGGGGCACTAACATTTTTGGATATTCTTGTTAAGCATAAGGATGGGGTTTTCTTTACTAGCATTTTTTGCAAACCCACATTCATGTGCTTATATACGAATTGGAATTTGTTTGCCCCCAAATCCTGTAAGATTTGGTCTAATCTCGATCCTGGTTCATCACACTTTGATGATCTGTTCTCCTAATCTGTTAGATGAAGAACTTGTTAGTATTCAGAATATTTTCGAAAATAATGGATATCACATCAATGTCATCAAACGTGTTTGTTATAGATAGTAAAATCAAATGTTTTAAGGAACCAGTGGTTTTGGGACCTAGTCGATGCCATATTTATTTAAAGTTATCTTGGCAGGAAATGTCAGTTATTATCTGACAGAATTTCAGCTTGTATCGCGTCATGTCACAATGCTGTTAAGTTGCGCACAGTTTTCAAACAAAATCTGCGTTCCCTTCCTTTAGTAAGGATCGTTTGTCCTATTTTCAGAAAAATTTAGTTGTCTATAAATTTAAATGCCAATGTGAAGCAACATACATAGGACAAACCAATCTGAGGTTGGAGACGCAGATTGTGCAACATGTTCCCACCTATTTGCATTCAAGTAGTTAAAAGCCAATCTTTAAGAACTACTCAAGCAGTCCACAATTCATCTATTGGACAGCATTTGGTGGACAGCCTGGACTGTGATGCCAACTATAAAGACACATGATTTTCAATTCTACACAACGCTTGCTCAGTTTACCATCTCCGAGTTCTTGAGGCTGTGTTCATAAAATTTCACCAGCCATGACTGTGTAGGTAAAAGAAGCATTTTATGTGCTCCTTACAGTTGTTGGAGGGAATGTGAATTTTTCCATTTTATACTCTTGTAGAACTTGCCTTCCCCCAGCTTTTTTTAATTATTTACAATTAAAATTTACTTTATTTTAATTGCGTTCCAACTTTCCCCCCTCTTTCATTATTATGGTTGTGTCCTTGATTGTTTTCCAATTTGCCAATGAATACCTTTGAAAAAGTGTTGGTTGAAAGGTTCCTTAGGTGTAAAATAACAACCATTTTGTTTAAAATCTGTGTTTTATTTCTGTGGGTACAAATCTCTTTTTGTATATATAAATGTATGTATAAAGAGATTCCTCAAGTGTGCTGGGATCCAAAAGCCGGATAAGGTGATAAAGGCTTGTGGTGAAAAAGCGGTGAAAGGAAGTGTATGAATTACAAAAAATTCTTATTGAGTCGCATCCAATTAACATAGACCGGTTGCAATGTAACATCATCCGGCTGTTGCGGGCCCACAGTGTGGAAAGGTACTGATCTTAATGAGCCAAAACTTTGCTGAAGCACGGCGCTCAGCTGAAGATTGCAGCTGGTCTGGAGTACTTGATGTGTACTAGTGTTCCATATATATATGTGTGTGTGTGTGTGTATGCCTGCATGCAAGTGGGTGGGTGGTGTAATGGATAACAGCTCAGAATGAGAAATCGTGCACATACTCCTGGGAAATACATGAATCGTCCAAGATATGGGGAAATGGTAGGACAGACTAGGTCCTATAGCCTTGCCTAACAACCAGCCTAGAATTACGATAATCCACAATATATATATATATATCAACCTATACCCACAGAAGAAGAAAATAGACTTAAATAGAGAGGATGACATTTTACCTTTAGGAAAGCGTTTTGGTCAACACTTTATCAAAAGGAGAACGCTGGTGTATGGAACAAATAATCAATGATACACTTGTAAATAGCAAATGAAAAGGGAAAATTGGAATACGATTAAAATAGATTTTAATTGTAAACAAAATGATGACTAAAAACAAAAATTATAAATATATATATATATATATATATATATATATATATATATATAATAAAAAAGGATCAAACACTAATATTCCATGGTTATAATTTATTACATTGGAATCATAATCATGATCCAATTCATCAGACCTACAAATTCAAAAAGAAATTGGAATATATAACTCTGGGTATAAAAAATAAAATTTTAGTGAGAGTGTATGTGTGGGAGTAGGAAACAAGTGTGAAAGGAAAATTTATAAAATAGAGAGAGGTGTAACAGAAGAAAGAAGAACAGGAAGGCCTAAAGCTGAAGGTGGGGATTAAAATTTAACAGAGAAAAGTTTTTAAAGAGAGGAGCTAAATAACGGTTTAAGTGAGTGAGATACAGATAAATATGAATTATTTTTCAATGTATAATTTGCTACTGATTAGCTGACCTAAATTATTATAATTTATTACATTACTTTCATTCCATACATATATATATATATATATATATATATATATATATATATATATATAAAATATGAACATATAAGTCAACACTTAGAGGCGACAGTCTGTTTCATGCTATATGCAATCATCAGGCCACGTGTGCTGTTATTTTTTCTCGGCTATTTATACATATACGGGTCAGTGGTGCATTGTGGGTAGTCTATTATGCCGGTTATTTTACCGGAAGTCATTTATTTATTTATTTGGGTTAAATTATTTTGTTTGTTTTTATCTAATTTTATTTTTTGTTTCTTATTTTATTTATTTATTTACTTATTTTTTAATCGGTGTTTTTTATTAATGTAGTAAAAATTTGTTTATATCACTTATTTAATAGTTTTGTTTTGATTTGAGAATTTAATTAAAGCTATTTGTTCCGTTTGGGGGTTGGTTGTTGTAGTTTTATTCTAACTATTATTTTTTTAACTATTATTATTACACACGCTCTATCTCTGATATCGAGCACTTTATCCCATAAATATAGCACACCTTAAGACTATATTTCTTCATATATATATATATATATATATATATATAATAAAACCATTTCACTAAGGTTTTATTTGTTGGTTGAAAATGATTTTAGAAAGAATACAAATTAAAGAAAGAATGCACAAAACCAAATCTTCTGAATCAGAATGAGATCAAAATAATAAAATAGGGGACAAGAGAAACTTATTATCATTATTATTATTCTATTTCGTCTATTCCAACAGGTGTGATTTGGTAATTTGTTTGGATTAATTAATTTTGCTTATTTTATTGTTATTTTGTTTACTTGTTTATTTATTTGTTTTTATTTTATTTTTTCCGTTTTCAATTTTTAAGTAACGTAGTAAAAATTTGTCTGCATTTTGAGATGAGCTCGGATCTTTTATTTAATAATTTATTTTGGTCTGGGAAAGTAATGATAGCTATTTTTTCCTCCAAGCAAAGTTTGCAAGTTTTTGATTGGTTGTTGTAGGCTGGTGATCTTTTCCTTATTCAGCAAACAGGAAAACTTATTGCAGCAGTTATTCATGCTCTCATGCATATCTGGAGTCATCCCACATTTCAATGTTGTTAGAAAGATTCGGAAACTTAATGTTTCTTACAATAGGAGTCTAGTAAAGGAGAGATTTTAATTTCACTTGTTCTCTTTACTAAAACAAAACCTTAGCACTTAGTCATGTGATTCTCGCAAACTTGCAGCTGATTATCTGAAAAAAAGTACTCCCATGTGTGATATCCACCTGAAAAAAGCCAAAGAATATATGTGCTAAAAATATAAAAGAATAAGAATAAAACAATATATGTTCTAAAACCTAGAATAGTACAAAGGTAGATAGAATAACGAAAATACTTAATCACAGATTTTCAGACAATACAGGAAGGTTGAAAAATATGTCATCTGAAATTTTGTTTGAAAAAAAGAAATATTAAAAAATATACAGAATAATAAAAATGACTGAATCTTGATAAAAAACAAGGCATATGTGAACCCTTAAAATTTTTTTATTTTTCATTAAGTACTTAGATACTTTTTTGTTTTTGTTGATTAATATCAGCAACCAAATTCCACAATACCTGAAATAGAAGAAAAAAACGAGTTTCTTTTTTTAAAAAATGCAAGCATTTAATAAATATGAATGTTTTATAACATTCATTAGTTTAAACAGCAACACAAAGGTTTCTT